GCGCCCGCGCCCCCGCGTCCCGCCCCCCGGCGCTCGGCGGCCAATCCCAGCGCCGCGCACGTGACGAGCGCTGCCTGCGATGACCTCATCCCTGGTGTGGGATGACGTCAAATTCAAGATGGATGGAATCACAGCGGCAGCGGCGGCTGCGGCGCGCGCGAGCCGAGTGTGAGCGGAAAGGGGCCCGGCGCCTGCTCCGGGGTTGAAGAACGGTGAGTAACTGTCACGCCCCTCGCCCTAGGAGAAGTGCGGGGCCCTGTAGGGGGCTACTGCCTCCCCGCAAAACGCGGCCTTCCCTGACGTAACTCTGAGGTGATTTCTCTCTTTTTCCTCCACCAGCGGGTTACGGGCTCTAGGCGCTTTGCGCGTGCGCGGCGCCGCGGCTCTTACTGAGCATGCCCAGACTCCCACGTAGCCGGTTGTGTCTTCACAGTGCGCATGCTCTATGCCCGCACTTGGCCTCGCCCTCGCCACTGCGCATGCCCGGCGTCCTGGCCGGCTGCGCCGCTGAGCCGGGCGGGCGTGCGGGCTAGCGGCCGCGCGGGGCCGGGGCACGCGCCCCTCCGCGGAACCGTTGCAACGCCTTGAGGGGGAGGGGCGCGCGGCCCCGCCCCGGGCCGGTGTGGGCTCGGCGGACCGGGGAGGGCGACCCTGAAGCGTGCACGGACGGTGGTCCGGGGCCGCGGGGACCCCACACCTGCCGTGCCGCACGCCTGGGTCCCCGAGGCCCGGAGCGTGCCGGCCCGGTGGCCCGTGACCTTCCCGCGGGCGCCTGGACCTCGCAGCGCCTTGGCGTCTCCCCGAGCCCCCGAAGACCCCAGGGCTTTCCACCCTCGATGGGCCAAGCCCCTCCTCGCCCGGGGAGGGCGCGCGGGGCCGGGCGCCGCGCCGGAGACGCCCGCCTGGCCTGCCGCGCCGCCCCGGCTTCGGGCCCCGGGCCCCGTTCCGTGCTGCTCTGCAGACGCCGCCGCGTCCTGCAGTCCGGGGTCAGCCCGGGCCGGGGCTTCCCGGCCCTGGGGCCCCGGGTTCTGAGGAGAGGCACGCGCGCAGCACGTTGGCAGGGGGTTAGTCAGGTACCGGGGCCGCCCCACCGCGGGGCGCCGCAGCCCCGCACCCTGGGGTGGTCGTGGTTATTGTTGTCAGGACTGTGTCTTGGTGCCCGCACTCGCCGCTCTGCTCACCTTTAGGGTCTGCAGGAGTCTGCTGCTGCTGCACAGTCCAGTCGCTGCGGTTCACGAACATGACTCTGAGTCATCGCTCGGGCTTGGACCGTGGTCCGTTCCTTCTAGCTTGGCTAAGAGGAGGTTCCTCCGCTTTGGAAGGGTTCTCATTGATTTTTTTTTTTCCACTCCTCTCCCTTTATGTGCCGGTGTTGGTGTTTGAACTCTGGGCCTTGCTGCTGTCCCTTAGCTTTTTTTTCCACTCAAAGCCGCTGCTCTGTCACTTGAGCTTCACCCCCACTTCCAGCTTTATGCTGGTGAATTGCATGTAAGAATCTTACTGACTTTTCTACACTGGCTGGATTTGAGCCATGATCCTCACATCTCAACCACCGAGAGTAGCCATGGTTACAGGTGTGAGCCACCAGGGCCCAGCTGGAATAAAAAAACATTTTTCCCAGTAAATCCTCCTTGCACCTCTAATGATAAATAGTCACTGAGTTTAACTTTACCCCTAAATGTTGATGTCATACAGACAAGAAAGTTGAAGCTTACTGCCAAGTAATTTTGGGTTTAATTCTTTTGACAATGTTGTACTTCATTCTGTGGAAGTAAAGGTGGAAGAAAAAAGAAGCCCTCCTCTGAGGAATTTGTAGTACTATTTAGCAGAATATTAGATATGTACACTGAGGGGAAATGAGAAGTAGCAGAAGAGGGGTTAGGTAAACCCTGAAATCCCCAGGTAGGGAGCCGTTGTAGTTGTTACTGATACCACACAGGATAGGGATGGCAGTAGGAAGAGTGGGCAGATATTAGGGCTGTTTGAGGGCCCAGTTCACAAGCTGCAGTGATTGGCCAAAATGCAAAGTCGATTTGTAGCTGAGGAGACCTGGCTGGCAACACACCAAACTTAAGTAGGGAAAGTGTGAAGATAAGCAGGTGTGAGGGTGAGGTGCCGGATTCTAGGACACAAGTGAACATGTGGGATATGCTAGGATGAACAGGTTCTGTTGGCACCAGAGAGGGACAGATGTGGGAGTCCTCATCCAGTCTGGGCTCGAGACACGAGGTGGCAAAGCCAGGTCTTGAGCCCCAAGTTCAGTGCTCTCTGCGCAGTAGTAGATGCCTGCCAGGGCCTGTACTGGGTGTTAGGAATGCACACATGAAAACAAGTGCAGATGTGCTGAAATCACCATGATCATTGAGCATGTTGGAGTGCTGTGGTTCAGGTGACTAAGCTTCTGACTGGAGTCAAAGCTTTGTAGAGACACTAATGTTTCAGCTGGATCTTTCTATGGAAGATAGCCAAGTAAAGGAGAAGTGGGAGATGACTTTTAGGTGGCAGAAGCTGGGTGCAGGTTTGCTGGGTAAAAGGTAAGGAGTGCCAGTTCAAGAAGTTTGCAGCCTGGTGCCAGTGGCTCACGCCTGTAATCCTAGCTACTCAGGAGGCTGAGATCTGAGACTCATGGTTCAAAGCCAGCCTGGGCAGGAAAGTCCGTGAGACTTTATCTCCAATTAACCACCAGAAAACAGGAAGTGGTGCTGAGGCTCAAGCGGTAGAGCGCTCACCTTGAGCTGAAGAGCGCAGGAGCAGCGCCTAAGCCCAGAGTTCAAGCTCCACGACCACCCAAAAAAAAAACAGGTGCAGAAGTGACTTGTGACTGGAGTCAGGAATCTTGTACACCTCTCTACAATTTGGATTCTTCTCTGGGAAATAATAGAGGATAATATACTAAAGGAGTGCGATGTTGTGACCAGCTTTATTTACTTAATTTACATTATGCCTTGGCATAATGTCCAGCCCTGCATTAAATTGGAATAGAAGGTACAAAAAAGGAGAGCATATTTCCTGTTGTACAAGTCGTCATGTTAAGCATTGTGAAGGGTACCAAGAGATGGTAGAGTACCCATCAGTCCTTGAAGAGCTGAAGCTCTGGTACAGCAGGGGAAGCAGGTGGAATAAGGAGGGGAATGAACAAGATGTAAATGGTGCTAGCCCTGAATAGCAGAGCAAGAGGTATGCTCGTTCTAAGCTGAAGTAGTCTGTTTGCTTGGGCTGCTGTAGTAATGTGCAGAGATCGGTGGTCTGTGCTATACTGTTTTCTTCTAATAGGCTGAAAGAGGGATTGGCAGGACTACATCTTTTTTTTTTTTCATTATTTATTTATTATTTTATTTTATTTGTTAACATACTGTACAGAGGGGTTACAATTACATGGGCAGGATAATGCGTACATTTCTTACCAAGCATTGCAGCCTCCTCCTTTGTTTACTCTTCACATCCCTTCCCAGCCTCCCCCCTCCCCCCCCCCAGTCCCAATCCTTCTCCCCCCCCCCCCCCCCCCCCCAGGACTACATCTTTGCAAGGGCTTCCCTCCATGGGTGTCTTGTGTCTTGATTCCTCCTCTTTTAGAGATACCAGTTTTATCAGGCTAGGACACATTTTAACCTACCTCTATAAAGACCTCATCTCCAGATTTGATTGCTGGTGGTTAGGACTGGGGCATGAATGGGGGGTCATTCGGCTTAAATGGAGGCTTCCTGGAGCATTGGAACTTGAGCTGAGCAAGAGCAAGGTACAAATTTGATGTCGTCCAGGATGCTCATACTGGGAAGGGAGAGATGTAAGCTGGGCAGGTTGTGTTGTAGGATCAAAGAATCAGAAGCAGAAAAAAAAATACCATGGAAGATAACTAAGGGAAGTTTTAAAGGTAGTTTGGAAGCATGTTTATGGAGCTTGAAGTCCATTTTTATAAGGCTTTACATTCTAGCCTGATGGAGAGACAACATTTTTTATTGTTTTAAGAATGGTAGATGGGCTGGGAAGTTGGCTCAGTGGTAGAATGCTTGCCTTGCATGCATGAGGCCCTGGGTTCGATTCCTTGGCACCACATAAGCAGAAGTGGTGCTGTGACTCAGGTGGTAGGGTGCTAGCCTTGAACTGAAGAGCTGAGGGACAGTGCCCAGGCCCAGAGTTCAGGCTCCACGACTGACAAAATAGAGAGAGAGAATGGTAGAGACTGGCTTTGTTTGTTTTAGGCCTCAGCCAAAACACTGCATGAAGGTGATGCTTGACAGTTCTCTGCCCCACGAGGAAGGCCTTCGCTTCCATCAAGACAGTTTTCATGCCATTAGCTATCTTCTTAATTTGTTCCCGTGATTATCCCCTCAATACCTCCCTAAAAAGCAGGACCCTGTGTTTCAGATATGTGTAACCATGCCTTTCACAACAAGAGGAGTTTAATGAGCTGAGGTAGTGAGAAACAGAGAGACAGAGAAACAGAGAGAGAAAATGTGTATGTTGGATCAAGGCCTTGTTGAAGAAAGCTTAATCTAGCAGCAGCATTGTAAAGTATGGGTTTGGAAATACCAAGTGGAAACATATTCATCATGGTTCCTTAATAGCAGAAACAGAAACAGAGCAGCTGACTTGACAAAGGAGTTTATTGTAAAGATACCTAGCTTTAAGGAAAAGCTAAAACCAAAAAACCTTAGGTCAAGAAGGACAAAACCACTAATTTCAGGAATGTATGCATGATTACATTTTCTGGCCTTCACTGAATTAAACTGCTCCTTCTATCTGTTGTCCTCTTAGGACCCTCATTCCAGGGAAGAAATGTCTAATTGGCCTGGCTCTGGGTGTGTGCCTGTGGCCACTATTTGTACTGGTGGGACCAGTGTTCTTCCAGAGCTGTATCAAGAGCTGTGTGCCTAGGAACGGGAATGACAGACGGAGGCTGACCTGGGGCCACTGTGCTCAGTGCAGCCTGTTACAGCAGGGTATTCTGCTGATTGCGGCCGAGAACATACTCTTGAACCAAATCCAAACCAGAGAGACTGAAAATGTGACGAGGTGGAATACAAGGTAGTAACCTGACTCCTCATGTGCATCCAGGGAGCTAGTCTGACTTGGAAATCTGAGGAGCTTCAGGATGTCTGCATTGTCATCAAGTAAGTGATGGTAAGACTGAAACGTAGAGCTGGCTGACTTCCTGTCACCATCCAATAGTAAGAGAGCAACTCAGTGCTAAACTCAAAGGCAAGGGCTTGAGATAACTGTGGGCCTGTGTTCCAGAATCACTGGAGGAACCTTGGGTGTCTGCCTAGAGTTACATGTATCTCCTCTTTTTCTGGTATCATGGCTAGGGTTATATAAGCAGTAGACTTGAAAGACTTTTCTGTGGGCTATATTGTCCTCTGTGAGCTGTTAGCCATAATGATTCTCTTGTTTTGAAGCTTCAGGAAACCATATGCAAGGCAGAGTTTAGGAAGATAGAAGTATAGGGAATCCAGGTGGTAATCGAGTCAGCCCTGTTCATAATCACATTTGCAGGAGAGTTTCTCTCAGCAATTTCTGCTGCCCATAGCAAGCCTTTTTTTTTTTAATTGCCCTCTTTCCTTTGAAGAGCTCCAACTCTCAGGTAGGCTTTTCTACCGTGGCCAGAGAAACAGAACTTGTGTTGCAGTGAGTCAGGTGGAGCTGAGCAGTGGAGGAGAGGGCCCTGGGCCACAGCAAGTGGCATTTGTGCAAGAGATTCAGAGTCCTAAAAAAGTCAGATACTGTGAGTCTGATGTACCAGCAAACTTACTGTATCTGGGTCAGAAAAATGTTTTCAGGAGAATGTGTACCCAGCCACAAAATGGCCTCTCTGAGACATGAACAGCAGAGGAATCAGTAGGGTTTTGTTGTTTGGTTTTTTTTTTAAGTGGTTTTTTTGTTGTTGTTTTTGTTGTTGTTTGGTCGGTTGTGGGACCTGAACTCTGGGCCTGGGCACTGTCCCTCCGCTCTTCAGCTCAAGGCGAACACTCTTACCACTTGAGCCACAGTGCTACTACTTCTAGTTTTTCTGCTTATGTGGTGCTGAGGAATCGAGCCCAGGGCTTCATGTATGCAGGCAAGCATTCTACCACTGAGCCACCTTCCCAGTCCCTAGTGTATTTACTTTGTATTATTATTTATTATTATTATAAAGGTGATGTACAGAGCAGTTATTGTTACATAAGTCAGATAATGAGTACATTTCTAAAATGTCACTCCTCTCACTCTCTCCCAGTTCCTGTCCCTACCTACAAGTTGTTTTGTTCATTTTCCACATAGTGTCTAATGAGTGCCACTGCTGCATGTGCCCTCTTTGTCCCTCCATTTTGGAGTCAGGAGTTTTGAGGATTCAGTCCCCATTTCAACTGCCGCAGTGGTCAGCTGGACCGTCACATGACATTCAGCAGTTGCTATTTTTCCCTGCATTTCATAGTTTTCAGTTAAGTTGCTGGAATCAGTAAACAAGATACACTTAACTATGTTTAAAATAGAAAAAGTCAAAATGCTGTCTCTTTGCAGCTAGATTGGGAAGGGACCATTGTTTCCACAGCATAATAAAAGAACTAAAATATAAAAGCAAGAGACGTGAGGAGGAGCGGTCCACAGCACCCAACCCTCTTCTCCCTCTCTCCTCTCTCCCGATCTTTAGAGCCTTCAGGTCCTGGGGAGAACGGATGGTCACTGTTTCTCTTATAATGCCTCAGTGGCCTTAGTTTAGCCCCCAAGACCCCTGTGCTTCGTGACTTCCCCTTGAGCCTCATACCCTCCTCCTCCTGTGTATCCTTTGTTCAAGTCAGACAAAAACACCTATCTTGTTTGTATGTTGCACATACTGCTCTTGTTCCAGAAGTGCCTCCCACCTTTCCTGCTTGTTTCCTCCCTACATTTTCTGATTTCTCACCTGCATGACCATCACCTGCACTGCATCAAGACCTCTGCAGATAGCTGTCTGCTTGATGCCTGCATACTGGACTACCCCAACAGATGAACTTGTCCTGTCCACAGGTGCGATTCCAAGCTCCAGGAGACAGGCCGTGTTGGTCAGGTTGGCATCTCTGTGTCTAGCTCTCCTCTACCCATTCTAGCTCCATAAGGTGGTGGGATGCCCAGACCAGACCATACCATCATCATGCAATGATTAAGAGGCGCCTGGGTTCTATGCTAAGACTCACAATTCCACTCACCATCTGTCAGGCCCTCACAGGCAAATGACTGGCCTGACATATCTAGCTCACATGAGAATTTAGAGGTAACTAGAGGCAGTATGAAGGCAAGGTCAAGAGCACAGCTTCGGCCTGCTCTTCTGCTTTATCTGAATGGCCTTGGGCAAGTTTCTCAACCCTGCGTGCTTTGGTTTCCTTGTCTGTAAAATGGGGATAAGCCCAATGGGTGACTCATCTATCATCCTAGCTACTCAGGAAGCCCGAGATGTGAAGATCAGGGTTTGAAGCCAGCCCCAGCAGACAAATCCTTTTTTTTTTTTGGGGGGGGGTGGTCCAGTCGTGGGGCCTGAACTCTGGGCCTGGGCGCTGTCCCTCAGCTCTTCAGCTCAAGGCTAGAGCTCTACCACTTGAGCCACAGCGCCACTTCTGGCTTTTTTCATTTTGCTTATGTGGTGCTGAGGAATCGAACCCAGGGCCTCCTGCATGCAAGGCAAGCGCTCTACCACTGAGCCATCTTCCCAGCCCCCAGACAAATCCTTTAAACTCTTCTCTCCAGTTAACCAGCAAAAGGCCAGAACTGGAGGTGTGGATTAAGTGGTAGAGCACAGCCTTGTGGGGTAGGGAGATGAACAAGAATGTGAATTCAAGCCCTTGTACTAGCACACACAAAAATAAGTAAAATGGAGACAATAATAGTACCTACCTCCAGGATTGTAATATTGAGTTAGTATAGGAGTGGTGTTTGCTCTTATGTATGCAGCAGAGTGAGCATGCAAATAGTAGCTTTTTATAAGTACGCAATTAATGTTTAATAGAATAGACAACAAATGTAAGGTTACTGTGCACTGTCACAAATTGTTCCTTTGTCAGGAACTTGTACAACTGATTTCCACATTTTTGTTCAAAAAGATAGAAGCCTGTGCTCCAAGATCATTGGAAGCCCTTACTGAAATCCAACATAGGGACCGTCAAGGAAGGATAGAGGAATTTGTAAACAATGAAATGTGAGCACAATGTTGCTTTCTGCAGTAGAGTACATATGGTATGTGAACTGTCATGCTATGCTTTGTGGCCAGGGATGTGGACAACCCAGTATCGACTGAGCCTTAAAGTTAAGGGGTTTTAATTTCTCTCTGTCTTGGTTTAGAACTCCTAAACCAAGCAGACCATGATAGAGGGTCTGTATATGGATGTTTAGCTGGGGAATGATTCTAGAAAGTGCAAGAAAGGGAGTTGAGGAGGATGTCCATAAAGGTCTACTAACAAACACATAGCTCACGCCTGTAATCCTGACTACTCTGGAGGCTGAGATCTAAGGATCACTGTAAAGTCGGCCTGGGATAGGAAAGTCCATGAGCCTCTTATCTCTAACTAATCACCAAAAAGCTGGAAGTGGAGCCCTGGATCAAGTGGTAGGGTGCTAGCCTCAAGGATAGCGCCCAGGCCCTGAGTACCAGCCCCAGGACTGCACAGAATTTAAAAAAAAGAAAAACATCCCTTGACTCCTCTAGTCACTGTTGGAAATCTTGCTTTCCCTGTGCTGTGCCCACTGGTCCCGGCCTGCCAGGTCATGGCAGTAGGCGCCTCCTCGTCTTGCTTTGCTCCCTCGTCTGCGTCTGTTGTCCAGCACATAGGACTGCTGTGTTCCTAGTTACACGTAACTCAGGCTTCGTCATCCTCTGCTTAGAACCTCCCGTTCTCTGCATGGCACATGTTCCCCCGTGGCCCACAGCCCTACCCAGTCAGCCCTCCTTGCTTCTGGGACGTCGTCGTCCATGACTCTAGAACAGGAGCTTCACCCCTGCCTCACCTGGCTCCTGCCTTAGCTGTGCCATTTTCCCATCAGAACCTCCCGGCTTGTCCCTCACTCTCTCATCTTCTCAAATGAATAAATAAATGACTTAAGAAGTTATTGGCACTGCTTGTACTGGTAGCAGATACTATCATTTGATTCTCTAGCACTGTGTGGTTAGCCCAGGACACTAGTGGTCTTGACTCTGGCTCCCAGGCAAGGGCGCATTTCCCATCTCATGCATCTGAATGTGGTGCCCACTTGCATATGTGAAGATGTCCAGCCGAAACGGGCTTCTCAAGGTCTTACTTTGGTGCATTCTGACACTTTTTTACTCTGTCCTAGTTTTATCTGTTTTACCTTGCTAGTTTCAAGCCAAAATTGAGCTTAAGAACTCAGACAAATTCCAGCTCAACTTTTGCTTCTGATCCACTGTGTTTTCCTGTGGCATCTTCAGAAATTCATTCTTAGTGCCACCACTGCCCTGCCAGTACACAGCTGAGTCAATACTTATGGCATTATTAGCTCTTTTTTACCCTTCGTAGACCCCCATAAAAGACGAGAACATTTCCTTTTACACACTGATAAATGTGTGAATTTTTTTTAAGGTAGTACTAGAGTTTAAACTCAGCACCTCACACTGGCTAGGCAGGTCCCTACCACTTGAGCCATTTTGCCAGCCCAGATGTATGGTTCTTGAAGCATAATAGGTGTAAGTTAAATGGTGCACAGAAGAGGGAAAGCAGTTACAAGCAGAAGAATTGCACTTTCCCTTTGAGTGTGAAGGGATAAGAGGCATGAAGGGAAACCCAGAGAATGCTGAAGACCATGTGCTGTGGGGTCACTCCACACGGTGTCTACCCCATTGTTCTCCCTGGACTCCCCTGAAAAGCCTGGGCCTGGCACAGGCAGACACCCCTTGGAGCTAGGAGGGAACATGCAGGTGTCATGGGACGGGGTGTGATTTGTCCCACTGAAACCTCTCTAGAATGTTCTCAGTCACTTTTGATCCGTTCTTGTAGTAAAAATAAATTTCAAAGCAATATTTTGATATGGTGTTGGGGATTGAACCAGAGCCTCACATGTGGTAAGCAAGCTTCCTAGTGCTGTCCATGTACTTTTAATAGAATATGGCATTATAAAATGAACCCACCAGCCAGGCGCTGGTGGCTCATGCCTGTAATCCTACCTACTCAGGAGACAAATCTGAGAATCTCAGTTTGAAGCCAGCCTGGGCAGGAAAGTCCATGAGACTCTTTATCTCCGATGAATTATCAAAGAGCCAGAGGTAGAGCTGTGGGTCAAGTAGTAGAGTGCTAGCCTTGAGGAAAAAAAACAACACCACAAAAATTCAGGGACAGTGTCCAGGCCCTGAGTTGAGGCCCCAGGACTGACACCAATAAAAACAAACAACCAGGTGAGGTTCTTATGTCACAGGAGCCCACATGGAGGGCCACAGGAGGAGAGCAAGGAGATTCCTCCGTGAAATGGCTCAGCCTTCACCAAGAACATGGGATAGAAGGTACAAATGCATTAAGTGCCTAGTAGTCCTGCTATCCTAAAAGTTATCTGTGTGTTTGTTGAGTACTTAGTGTGTTGTAGAGTCTATCATCTAATTGTTGCCACGGCATAGTTACTACACAGGGTTTGAGCACAGGCCAGCAGGCCCTTCAACAGACATTGGCTTGCACCAGAGGAGCCTGCACCTCAGCTGAGTGTGGCACCAGTTCTCACTCTCACGACGCCTCCTTGGCTTGGTTTTAGACTTGAAGAGAATTTTGGTGAATTTCAGTCTAACCTCATAAGTTTCTGGACTTCTCACTGGGCTTTTTAGCTCAAGGCTGGCATTCTATCAATTGAACCACTGCCACATTTCTGACTTTTTGTTGGTAATTGCAGATAAGTGTCTCAAGGAGACAGCCAGGCGAGCTCCAAACCATGATCTCAGAGCTCAGCCTCTTGAGAAGATATGCTTATAAGCATGAGCCACCAGTGCCCAGCCAAGCTAGCGGGTATTTTGTTTTCTGTTCTTGAAAATGTAATTCAAAAGATTCTAAGGCAAAGAATGAAAAGGAAAGGAAAGATAAAAAGAAAAGAAAGAATGTTATTGATTTATGTTTCTAATGTTTAATAAACACTTTGGTTTTGTAATTATCAAGTGATTTTCTCTTTGTAAATTCTTTTTCCACCCCTCATCAACATTTACATTGTGGTTATGTGTATATAAAGGTAGTAAAAGTGATGGAGAATCATGGACCTAGGAATTGGGATAATCTCATACTTGGTATTCTCTGAACATGAAGTAGAACTAAGTAGCAACTGGGTAAATACCCTAAGGAATAAACCCTTATTTTCTTCTTTTTTTTTTGGGTCCGGTCGTGGGGCCTGAACTCTGGGCCTGGGCGCTGTCCCTCAGCTCTTCAGCTCAAGGCTAGCGCTCTACCACTTGAGCCACAGCGCCACTTCTGGCTTTTTTCTTTTTGCTTATGTGGTGCTGATGAATCGAACCCAGGGCCTCCTGCATACAAGGCAAGCGCTCTACCACTGAGCCACCTTCCCAGCCCTAAATCCTTATTTTCAAGTATCACTTCTACATCTACCTGCCAAGTAATAAGGACCTTTTGATAAAAATGCATTTGGTTGGTCTCTGGTTTCTGATATTCTCCAGTTTTAGTGACTGGTAGGCTACAGAAGCCATTTTCCATGTTATTTAAATAGGGCTGTTCAGGGTCCCTGTTGTCCCATCTGTTGAGCTCTGGCTCTGTGGAATGACAGTGGTGGTCTCTGCCCTTTAAGTTCCTCTCCCTCCCCACAGAGAGCTCTTCACCCAGGTCTTAGTGATGGCTTCACCTTCTGTCTTGCAGATCAGCCGAGCGATGGAGGGACTCCTGCATTACATCAACCCAGCGCATGCCATCTCTCTGCTCAGCGCCCTCAACGAGGAGCGCCTCAAGGGGCAGCTATGTGACGTGCTCCTGATTGTTGGTGACCAGAAGTTTCGAGCTCATAAGAATGTCTTGGCCGCCAGCAGCGAGTACTTCCAGAGCTTATTCACAAATAAGGAAAATGAGTCACAAACTGTCTTTCAGCTTGACTTCTGTGAACCAGATGCTTTTGATAATGTTTTGAACTACATTTATTCTTCTTCCCTATTTGTGGAGAAGGGCAGCCTGGCCGCAGTGCAGGAGCTGGGCTATAGCCTTGGTATCTCCTTCCTGACCAACATTGTCTCCAAAGCCCCCCAGGCCCCCTTCCCAGTGTGTCCCAACAGAAAAAGAGTGTTGGTAAGTGAGGACGATGAGACCAGCTCCCAGAAGAGGAGCGTCATTGTGTGTCAGGGTAGAAGCGAAGCACAAGGGAAAGCCAGCAGTCAGAATCTGCCCGACCTGAGCCATGCCTCCCGGCCCGCGCCCTCCACTGCAATCAAGACCAGTAGCAGCAGGCCACACATCGCTAAAGCAGTGGAGCCCCTTCATAGCCTGGCCCTCGCTGACAAGAACTGGCCCAAAGAGCCTGCGGCCGGGTATACAAAGTCTCTTGAGCATTCTGGATCTTTGGATGATCCCAGTAGAAGCAGTTTGGTGAAGAGAAATGCAGTATTACCCTCCAAGCCTCCTTCAGACAGAGATGCCGGGGACGAAAAGCCAGGTGCGAGCAGTCAGCTTCCGAAGGGAAGAGCTATAGAGATGGCTCTGAAAAGGCCACGGCCACCAGTTCTATCTCTCCGCAGCTCCTCAGAGACTCCCTATCTGTTGAAAGAATCTAACAAAGGCAGTGGTCAAGGGGAGGACCGAAACCTGTTGTACTACTCCAAGCTGGGCCTCGTTATCCCGTCCAGTGGGTCTGCTTCTGCAAACCAAAGCATTGACAGAAGCGGCCCGCTGGTGAAGAGCCTCCTCAGACGGTCGCTGTCCATGGATAGCCAGGTTCCTGTGTACTCACCCGCCATAGACCTGAAATCGCCCCAGGAATCGCCCCCCGTGTCAAACAACGCACCAGGGAATGTGTTCTGTGCTTTAGCTCAAAAGTCAGCTTTAAAAGACTGTACTGAAAAACCAGCGCTAGATGACAGGCCTCAAGTGCTGCAACCACATCGCCTCAGGTCCTTCAGTGCTTCTCAGTCCACGGACAGGGAGGGCGCCTCCCCCGTGACCGTGACCCTGACTGAGGTGCGCATCAAGACGGAGCCCAGCAGCCCACTGTCGGACCCGGCCGACATCATCAGGGTCACCGTGGGGGATGGGGCGGCGGCCAGCAGAGATCCCCCCGTGAAGACAGAGGAGGACCCCAAGGACATGAGCAGACTGCCCGCAAAGAGGAGGTTCCAGGCAGACAGGAGGTCGCCCTTCAAGAAGGCCAGGGCGGAGGAGCCTGGGCCTGCCGTCTCAGGGGACAGCTGTGAGGAGAGCGCCAGCCCTCCTGCCCTTGATGGCAATTTCCCAGATTCTGACTTAAACAAGGAGGAGTTTGGTGAGTTGGAGGGGACGAGACCAAATAAAAAGTTTAAATGCAAACATTGCCTTAAGATCTTTAGATCAGCTGCGGGTCTTCACCGCCACGCTAACATGTACCATAATCCCGAGAAGCCCTACGCCTGTGACATCTGTCACAAGCGCTTTCACACCAACTTCAAAGTGTGGACACACTGTCAGACCCAGCACGGCGTAGTGAAGAACCCGTCGCCAGCCTCTAGCTCCCATGCAGTGTTGGATGAGAAATTCCAAAGAAAGCTGATTGACATAGTGAGAGAGAGGGAGATTAAGAAGGCCCTGATCATTAAGCTGAGGCGCAGCAAGCCTGGCTTCCAGGGCCCAGGTAGCTGCCCAGCACAGCAAGTCATCAAGAGGAACTTGCGCTCCCGAGCCAAAGGGGCGTACGTTTGTTCTTACTGTGGAAAGGCCTACCGCTTTCTCTCTCAGTTTAAGCAGCACATAAAAATGCACCCGGGAGAAAGACCCCTCGGAGTAAATAAAGTTGCTAAGCCAAAAGAGCGTGTTCCTCTGACAGGTGCGGTAGAGAGCAAGGAGGTTTACCCGTGCCGCCTCTGTAATGCTAAGCTCTCTTCTCTTCTAGAGCAAGGCAGCCACGAGCGCTTGTGCCGGAACACCACCGTTTGCCCTTACTGCAGCCTCAGGTTCTTCTCGCCCGCGCTGAAGCAGGAGCACGAGGACAGGTGTGAGTACAAGAAGCTGACCTGCCTGGAGTGCATGCGGACCTTCAAGTCGTCCTTCAGCATCTGGCGGCACCAGGTGGAAGTGCACAACCAGAACAGCATGGCCCCCGCCGAGAACGTCTCCCTGCCCACTCTGGACCACAATGGCGAAGTGCCCGCCGGGCCCCGGGCCCCGCCCCCGCCCGAGCCTAACAAGGTAAACCACGTTGCCACACCAAAAGAGGACACTGCGTTCAGTGACTCTTCAGAGCAAGTGAACTTCGATTCCGAGGATTCCACTTGTCTCCCTGAAGACCTGAGTCTGTCGAAGCAGCTGAAAATCCACGTCAAAGAGGAGCCCGTGGAGGAGGCGGAAGAGGACGCGCCCGAGGCCAGCTCAGCGCCCAAGGAGGCGGGCCCCAGCAAGGAGGCGGGCCTGTGGCCCTGCGAGAAGTGTGGGAAGATGTTCTCGGCCCACCGGCAGCTGGAGCGGCACCAGGAGCTGCTGTGCTCGGTGAAGCCCTTCATCTGCCACGTGTGCCACAAGGCTTTCCGGACCAACTTCCGCCTCTGGAGTCACTTCCAGTCCCACGCGTCCCAGGCCACAGAGGAGCCCGTGCGGAAGGAGGCCGAAGCACGCCCCGGGCCCACAGACTCTCCCTCACCACCACCCCTGCCTCCCCCACCTCCTTTGCCCAAGATCCAGCCCCTGGAGCCCGATAGCCCCACAGGCCTGCCAGAGAACCCCATCCCGACCACGGAGAAGCTGTTTACCCCACAGGAGTCGGACACGCTCTTTTACCACGCCCCGCCCCTCTCAGCAATCACATTTAAAAGGCAGTTCATGTGCAAGCTCTGCCACAGGACGTTCAAGACCGCCTTCAGCCTTTGGAGTCACGAGCAGACCCACAACTGACGGGCCCACACTCCTCGCCGGGGGAGGCCCCAGCTTACTGACAGTGTCCCAAGACGCTACGGAATTTTTTATAAGAGAGTAATAAAGGTTGGGAAATTGTTATGCTTGAATTTAGGTTCGAGATAAACTGATAGTGGTTAGAAATGTCCCCACTAGGCTTTAGGAATAAACGTGGGAATATTGCAGTTTGACCCTCACAGCGACAGGGGCTTGATTTCGTGACTGTTGAACTTGAACTGAGCATCACGGGTTCCAGGGTGGCAGTGTGATCCTTTCATTGGGGCTTTTGCTGTGGAACTATTCCTTCTTTGGATTATTCCACACACCTAAGTTCCAGCAAATCTTCGCCATGTTCTTAAGGCCAAAAAACGCACCAGGACAAAATAGAGTCGTTTGCAGTATTGACTTACATCCTAGACTACCTTAGCAATAAAAAGATAAACCTCAACTCTTAACAAGTTATCCTGACACTTGATAAAGACAAATACTTGGTATTTTGTGGTCACGTAGAACTTTGTTTTTGTATGAAAATGGTGAGATTTAAATGAGCAATAGTCACACTTAGATTTTTATAAAATAACTTGCTCTCAGTCAGTATAACAATGATGGGCCCAGCGTAAGACCACAGCTTAGGTGATTTGCGCGCATCCTCTCAGTCAGTTTACAGGAGGGTCAGTAGTGACTGGCGCCGCTACTACCACACAGTGGTAGGTGAGTGCATCCAGAGCTGAAGGCCTGCAGCTGTTTGATCTCGGTGTTATGCTGTCACAACTTGAAAACCTGAGGGTGATTGGGACAGAACACCGTGCTAGCAGAGGGCACTCCTTTGAACTTGAGATTCGTGTGACAGGCGAGGTTGAGGTAGACCACACACACACACAGAGGCAGGATACCTAGTCAGGTTCCAGAGCACCACTTCCTGCCAGAGACCAGGGAGCAGAGCAGAGTGGGAAGAAGGGCTCTAGCAGCTTTGGCCTACTTTCCCGGGATGGCTCACACCATAGACCCTGCAGATACCCATATTGGTATATACGATTTCACTGCCCCTCTGTCCTTTTGAAGACTTCTGTTAGGGTGCATTAAAGTCTGTCAATGGAGTGAGACTGCTGAATCACTGCTTGCTGCTCGGAAATACGTGGTAAAGTACTATGAAGGGTCCCAAACTAGTTTTTGCTAATTATTTGGGTATATAGTATTTGGTATATAGTATTTTCTTCCTTTTCTAGAAATTGTAATGAAAAGCCTTTCAATAGGCGTTACCTAGAATTCCCTGGAGTGTTTTCAAAAGGTAAAACTTTATTTCACTTGTGAGGAAAAAGTTGACATTAAAAAGTTACTGAAACTACAAAGCCTTTTAAGATGTGAGAGATTTCAGTCTGAGTTTTTGCATTTTTCTTTTGCAAGCTGTTATTTCATGTTTTAAAAGTCAGCTACTGTGACTGAGGATTTTTAAGTTTGCACTCAGCAGAAAAGCCCATTGTTTTCTATACCAACACCTTACACCAGTGGAGGAAAGGCTTTGTTTATATTGAGACACAAGCATCTTAGTAAAAACACTGACTGGCCTTATACGGTATAGAAATATATGAAATATATGAAATTTTGCTCACTTGAAAAACTAAGAATTCTCCCTCCCAATACTTGAGTGGTTTTTATTTCTGTCTGTGAATGCGACAGAAACAGGAAGATGAAATTAAGTTGCAGCTACTGATCTGCCTGTTCATATTTTCTTAGAGTGTGCATTTTAGAGATGAAACAGAAGTATATGCCTTTAGACGAAAGGGCCATCAGACCGGACCCCTGTATACTGCCCACTCCCATTCCACAGCTCACCCAATAGCTCACCAACACCTGTGCTCGTCACGTGTAGAAAGCCAGTGCCCCTCGTAGTGCCACCTGCATGGCTGTGGAGTAGCTGACAAATTCACATACATAACATCTCGGAACTCGAACCTTTATGCTACAGTTTGGAAGATTTTTGAAATCATATTGCTAATCAGTAAAAAAAAAACTATTTTTGATTTAGAAAGCTCTGCATATCTGTTAGAGTTTAAAATTTACCAGTGTTTTGTCTTGTTCACTGTTTTTGTCTAGGCAAGAAATAAGATTTCAAATAAAACTTTGAACCAAAAACATTTATAATGCAGTTCTGGTTTTTCTATTGCTTTTTATACTGTACCTTATAAGCATTAGGTTGAGAGAGTTTATTTTGGTGGTCAAAAAAAAATATGCTTCCACTCATGTAACTATTTTAAATGTTAAGAAGTAAAATAATGAAAGACATTTATTGCTTTATTTAGTAAACAGTTTTTTAAAAGAGTGTTTATCTCAGCCAGTGGGCGACTATTTAGTGTAAAATAAGTTGGTCTTACATTGTTGCCAATCTTTAGATAGTAAAAATATTCTTGTAAATGTTTTTCTGAGTGTAATTAATTTTTGCAAATGTAGAAAACTCATTCCTTGTAAGTATTCAGGATGCCTGCTTTTTTATGCAGTTATGGAAAGAATGTAAAATGTTTAATATATTCTTTGTTAATCTGAGAACTAGTTATTAAATCGTTTTCTTTTGGGGAGGAGGGGAAAGGGAGTAACATAAAACTTTTTTTACCAGTAAGCAATGGATGTAACAAATACTGTGTTTTAATAGTAGTATCTCAAGATTGATAGAATATTTAGCTTTAAAACTTGGTATGCATTTGTAAAACTCATTGACAGTGTGTTATTTGCGTTTGAGGGGAGATTTTTTTTTTCTTGGTCTCTGTTTGGAGAAGTGTCATTTATAGCCTTCTCTTTGTAAAGATCTGCCCAGCCCGTACCTGGTGGTCTGAATCCACCTGCAGCCCCTGTGGGCGCTACTGAGAATAGCCCCTGTGAGGTAAGAGGGGGCCAGGCCTCCCAGTGGCCTGCACAGTCAGGGAAAGGAGGTATCCAGTCCACGGACCTGAAACTGGTCTTTCTTCTCTCCAGTTGGGGTGCTATGCAAATGCACACATGTACAACTATAATCTGGAGCCTTGAGAAGTGAAATACTTACATTTTCTCGTACACAACTAATTGTCATTCCTAACAGATTTCTTCGTAAATTTCATCTAGTTAACTTAGAATATTACGTCCATTTGCCAATTTCTGATGGCTCATTGAGGTTTTTTGCAATAATTGTGCAATGCATTATTGATTTTTAAATAATGCTAGTCCACATTTTTCATACATGTTCTTTAACACTGACTACTTAAACTTTTTTAAGTTTTATGAATAGATTTTCAGCTGGGTGGTGGTTTACACTTGGAATCCCAGCTACTTGGGAGACTGGTAGCTTGAGTCCAGGAACTAGCCTGCAACACAATGAGACCCTGTCTCAAAAAAGAGAGAGAAAGAAAAAGGATTTTCTTCTTGTGGCTTTAGCACTTTAAAAAGTTCAAAGTTTGCATAATTTTTTTAATGTGTTCCTCTAGAGTGAATCTGTGAGTTTCCCAGCTGGGGGAAATCCTGCTGTAGTTTTCTCTATGAGGAAATAAAGTCAGTTAGGCTCTGGAGAATAGTTAGTGTGAGGTGTTTTAAGTTTTCCTTTAGAGGCAGAGGATTTTACTGTAAATCTTTGAAATAATTACATTCAGTGCTCTTTAGTTATTTGTTAATGCTCTCTGGATTTCCTCAGTATTTTTGATTGATACTAATTCTCAAAAGGTGATAATTTGTTACTGGCATCAATCCAAAGCTATCTCTTGTTTTTTACTGACTGCTTATTGTTTAAACCAGTGAGTGGCAGTGATTGTGTACAAGTTTTGTTGTCAGTTGCCTTTACCAAGTAAAGCATTTTTTTAGGAATAAGGTTTTTTTGCTCAGAAAATTCATAGTAAAATAGAATACCTAATGTTAATCCATTGCTTACTTGTATTCAGTTCTATTGTCTGTTTACTTTGCTTACATCTTGACTAAGAATGATTGGAGACAATAAATTTGTACTGTATTTTGCTTTGTGTCATGGTGGTCTTGTGTTTTGCATGTTGATTGCAGAGAGGAGAGAAAGCCCTTCTGGGGAGAGGGATGGGAGTGGCCACTGAAGAATTGTGGGAGATTGTTATTTTTCCAGGTTCCAAGTTATTTACGTTGTTTGGGCATTAAAAAAATGATCCTGAAAACCAGAGAAGCAGTCATCTTTGTCCACATATATCAGACCTGTTCATATTAGTTTTCAAAACCACCTTTTTCTTTCAAAAGTGGTTATGTGTTGGAGAGGAACTTTAAATACATTTAAAGAAGCCTAAAGCATTGATAGTTCATTTAAAGGCTTCTGCATTCTAATGAGAGGCTCTTCATATCTTCATAAAGGTTGTATTTCCTTTTTTTTTTTTTTTAATTGGATTAGCTTTCGCTGTCACTGGGAGCTGAGTTAGGTATTTCGGCAAGCTGTCAGAAAGCCAGGCACTCTGAGGCAGGGGAGGGGAGTCCTCACCCCAACGTTGATCAATCGTGCCTCTTGTTCTCTGGTACAGCCTTTTTGCTGGTTAATTAGAGATGGGAGTCTTGGGGACTTTTCTGCCCAGTCTGGCTTTGAACTTCAATCCTCAGATCTCAGCCTCTTGAGTAGTAGCTAGGGTTATAGACATGAGCAATGCACCTGATGATAGGAATTTTTTAAGTCTTCCTCCTGCTTTCACCCTACTGTTCACTGCCAGCAAAGACTTTATTTTAAAACTTTTCCTTCCTCGTAGTAAAAAAATAGTTTTCTGAGGTTTGGTTGTTGCCTTGTTCAGTTGCTCAGGGCTCACAGTGTACATCCTGGCCTTCTAACCTACCCTCAGGTGATACTCTGCCGCAGCTTCCTCCCTCCCTCCAGCTCTGTTCTAGTTCTGTTCTGTGAGTCAAATGCATTGGGATTATTTGTGCTTTGGTCAGTTATCTTTGAAGAGAATAAGAAAGCAATTCTTTAGATTTCCAAGTATCCTTAGGGCATAGGCATGAACTCTTCCTGGAGTGGAGGTCCACTGGTACAGAAGTCTTTGTGTGTGTGTGTGTGTGTGTGTGTGTGTGTGTGTGTGTGTGTGTGTGTGTGTGTAGGAAAATACTTTGCCAACTTTGAAAAATATTTTTTCTGGATATATAACATTCTAGAATAACAGGTTGTTCCACCTCCCCCCAATAATTCAAAGATAATTGGATCTCTACTTCTAGCTTAAACAATTTCTAGGAAGAAACCAGCTCCCTGGACTTTGCTCCTCTATTCATAGTGTGTCTTTTATTTTTGCAATCTGACTTGACCTTTTGTGATGTTTTCATGCTGTGTGTGTGCCTGTGTGTCTATGAATACATTTGGGTTTGTTGAATTCCCTGGATTATTTTTTATTAAGTTTTTTATTGTGAAAATACTGTACAGATGGGTTACAGTTACATGGGCAAGGTAATGAGTACATTTCTTATCCAGCATTGTTGCCTCCTCCTTTGTTTTTCCTCTACCTCCTACCTCCAAAATTACACCCTCCCACTCCCCACCCCCATCCCCGGATTATTTTTTGAGGTTATAGGAGTTTTTAAAGTTGAACCGTTTCAGCCATTATTCCTTCAAATACATTTTTCTGTTCTTTCTACTTCAAAGATTAAATTATGCTCTGCATATATTAGGCCATATACTTAATAGTGATCTGGTCCCACGGATTTCTCTCCTTTTTTTCTCATTGTGTTTTGTTTAGGATAGTTTGTACAGCTTGTGTAGATAACTTCCTGTCCACTAACCTTCCCCTTCCCCAGCAACTTTTTTTTTTGGTTGTGGAGCCTGAACTCTGGGCCTGGGCGCTGTCGCTCAGCTCTTCAGCTCAAGGCTAGCATCCTACCACTTGAGCCACAGTGCCACTTCCAGCTTTTTCTGCTTATGTGGTGCTGAGGTGCCCAGGGCCTCATGCATGCAAGGCAAGCGCTCTACCACTGAGCCACTTTCCCAGCAACTTTTAATCTTTCATACATGCACCTACTGTGCTCTTTATCTCAGACATAGTTTGTTGTGTTTTTTTCCTTCATGTCTGGAAGTTTGATTTGGATCTTCCATGCCTTGTTCAACAGGTCCTGTGTTTCCTTTAGCCCTGTCCTCCAGTCCAGCTGTGATAACCTCCAACGCCCTTTTCCATCCCCTCCATCCCCTGTTCTGTGTCCTCATTCTCTTCCCACGGGTTTCCTTCTCTCCTCCCACGTACCATTTGATTGCCCTCTGGGTGTGTCTGGTGATTTTTACTTGGATGGTGGGCATTGTGACTTTTACTGGTTGAATACTTATTTTTTTCCATTCTTTTTTTTTTTTTTTGGGGGGGGGGTCCAGTCATGGGGCCTGAACTCTGGGCCTGGGCGCTGTCTCTTAGCTCTTCAGCTCAAGGCTAGCACTCTACCACTTGAGCCACAGTGCCACTTTTTTTTTGCTTAAGTGTTGCTGAGGAATCAAACCCAGGGCCTCAGGCATGCAAGGCAAGCACTATACCACTGAGCCACCTTCCCAGCCCCCTTTTTTCCATTCTTATAAGTATGCCAGAGCTTTGCTTGGGGGATATGATGAACTTACTAACTTAGGTGAAAACAGTTCTCTCTCTGGGGGTTTTGTTTTTAAATTGTACTCAGTAGGGTCAGAGCAGCTTTAAAGGCTAATTTTGCTCCTTTACAGAGACAAACACAGGGCCCCAGGAATCATTTTGAGCAGGAGTTGTCCCCTCTGGTCCTCTCGGGTGGTTTCTGCCAGGCCCAGGAAGAGCTAAGGGACTTCTCTAAGGATGTGTGCGTGTTCCCACTCTCCAACTTCCTTCTGTCCAGCACACAGCAGTCCAGCTCTGTCCACCTTGTCTCCCTGTGACCTCACCCTGTACCTCCTCAGAGTCAGGGACACTACCACTGTGTCTCATCTGCCACTGTTCTTATTTAAAAAATCATTTTTATATGGCCCAGTGAAGTTGGATGCCAGTGGCTCACATCTGTAATCCTACTACCCAGGAGATTGAGATCTGAGGATCATGATTCAGAGTCATCCCAGGCAGTGAAGTCTGTGAGACTTAACTCCAGTTAACCACCAGAAAACTGAAAGTGGTGCTGTGGCTCAAGGGGTAGAGCTCTAGCCTTGAGCAAAAAGGCCTCAGGGCCTGGATAGCACCTGGGCCCTGAGGTCAAGCCCAGTGACCATCAAAAAAAAAAAAAAAAGTGGCAAGTGGAGCTATCTATGTCTCTAGTGGTAGGGTGCTAGTCTTGAGCAAAATGCTTAGGAACAGTGCCCAGGCTCTAAGTTCCAGCCCCAGTACTGACACAAAAAGAAATAATAAAATTAACGGCCCAATGAATGTGGTCCTGGGGTGTGTGTGTGGAAGAAACAAAGCTAGTCAGACTTGAATTGTATCTGTTGTGATAAACATGTTAAACAAAAACATCCTTTAATTGAAAAAAAATCACATTTTCACATTATTTTGTTGTTTCTTTGCAGATTGGGAAACCAGTCTCTGTTACTCCATTTGGGTGACAAGACAAACAGAAACTCAGGATTTCATTACTGATAGGTAAGCTAACATGTCCTAAAGCACCCTGCCCTGGATGTCCGTGGACGCTCTTGACAGTTTCCAAGGAGCTTATCCAAGAAATAGTTCAGTAGAGGCGTGGTTCCTCCACAAACTTGAAAAATCACATAGATCTCCCACTTGATCCGCAATCAACTCACCCCCTCCTCAACTCAGCCTCGGTCAAGTTCAAACAGCCTGTGATAACTTCACCACTTTCTCCCGAGGAGGGAACCGTGCAGGGGAGGGCAGAATGGAAATTGTCTGTGCACAATCACAGTGTTGCACACCTACCACGGAAGCTCCGAGAGCTGCACAGTAATGCTGCATGTGGCCTGCATTTTGTTTATTATTATTATTTACAAACCTCACTTGTAAATTCCCAGCCTGACAGTGCGGTGCGTTCCTCCGCTTTGGTGCGTTCCTCCGCTTTGGCCAGGTCCTTAGAGGACCTGGGGCAAGGCTGCATCCCTCTGCATTCTTTACATCCTTGGTGACAGTGGTGACATGTAGCTAAGGGTTGATGTGCTGACCTGTTTCTCTCATGTGATGAGGACACAGGTCAGGAGGGGAGGGGCACCTGTACCCCTGGTACCGGCAGAGGCTGGTATGGAAGGAGGCTGAGGTTTTGCTCTGAGGGTCTCCATGAGGACTTAAAAGTTCTGCCATGCCACTGTAGTTGGGCTCCAAGCTGATTTCGTAGTAGTTATCTCTGTCCACCAGATCAAAGTATCTGTCCACCAGATCAGAGTATTGAACAATGCTGAAAGTCTATGTTATTTTTCTCCAATTTCTTGGAAAGGTGAAAGAGTAGAGTTCAAAGTATCACACTGGCCTGTCCTTTTATTTATAGTAAACTAGCTCCTATTCATGGCTGTGCTGTCTGGGAAGGCCAGCTCTCTATCAGCCCCTGCACACACATGCCACTTTAGAAATATCAGTCAAACATCCCCTGATTTTTCATGAGAAAGCACAGAATGATCACTGCCACCAAGGAAAGGCTTGGGAGATACAAGCTTCCAAAAATGCTTCCTGTGGAATCTTACTGGTCTAGATTGATGATTGAGAGCATTAGCAAAGTAGTCTCAGGTCCACTGCTGGTGGCTCACCCTTGTAATCCTAGCTACTCAGGAGGCTGAGATCTGAGGGTCAAAGCCAGCTGGGGCAGGAAAGTCCACAAGACTCTTATCTTCAAGTAACCACAAAAAGCTGTAAATGGAACTGTGGCTCAAGTGATAGAGCACTGGCCGTGAGTAAAGAAGCTCAGGGACACACCCTGTGTTCAAGCCCTAGGACCGACACATAAAACAAAACAGTCTCAGAATTTATACAATTTAGAAATTCTTATCTTTGGAATTATCATATTTCCAATGCAGCGTAAGACACGGAGCTAGGAGCAGTTTGTCTCCCCAGTAAGTGGTGTGTGTGTGTGTGTGTGTGTGTGTGTGTGTGCGTGCGCGCGCGCTGTTAACAATGAGAAGAGGGCTACATTATAGCTTTGGGGGAACACATTGGAGGAACTTTTTGCTCCCTAAAATCATGTATTTAAATTGTATTTCATGCAGTGTGTATACATGTATTTATTATTTAATCATCTAGGCCCCAGCCTGAGGACTGACTCTCAGGGCCTCTCCCAGCCTCCCTATTCACATGTAGACTCTGGTAGACACACCTTCTGGTACTCCCAGACCCCTTGCTACCCACTGGAAGCAAGGCTGGGGCTCAGCTGCCAAAGGGGGTACATTCTCAGTCCCACTTTTGACTTACATTGAGCCTTAGCCAGGGATAAAGGACCCTGCTTGGATAGGACTCAGTGAACAGAAAAGAATTTTCTCAGTGAGCCCAAGACCGCTATGCTAGTAAGCATACCAGCTGTGCCCTGGCTTGGCACCAGGGAACTTGGATTTCAGGCCTTCTCAGAGTCACTGATGACAGCAGCGCTCTGTGCCTGCGAACTGCTCAGACCATGCAAACAAATCTGTGAGACTCTAGCCTTCAATAAGTCAGAAGAAAAGCCAGAAGCAGAGGCATGGCTCCAGTGGTAGAGTGTCAGCCATAAGCAGAAAAAAAACAGAGAGCATGAGTTCCTGAGTTCAAGCCTCAGTATTGATCCTGAGTGAATAAATGAATGAATGAATAATTCCAGAGATGTGTAGTGCTTACCACATTGATTCCTGATTGTAGACATCTTCCTCTGTCTCACTGGCCATGGCTCCTGTGGCCCCCATAATGTGGGCAAATAACCAGATCTTCTCCCCAGTGGCTTCTATGGGAAGCTATATCAGAGCCCAGAAAAAACCGAGTGCAAAGCAAGGGATACGCACCAGCAAGGTGCGTTCTGAAGCAGGTTGTGCTGTGGGGATCAGGACCTCCCTCCTGGGACCCTCTGGGGAAGCACGTCTGTGCTGACAGACACAAGGCAGGCATTCGCCATTTTCCCTCCCTCTCCTGCCACCCACTGACCTAGGTCTATCCCAAGGGGTTACTGTCTTGTCCTTCAAGTGGAGGTGCCAATCCCAGGCAGAGGCAGTAGAGAACCTAAGGCAAGAAGTGACAGGTCCTGGGACGGTGGAGGCACAGGTGCCAGGGCCCAGCGGTGCAGAGAGACCGAGGCCTCCAGGTAGGTCAGGAGGACAGCAGGCGAGGACTCAAGCAGATGACAGAATTTCTCAGGTGTGACTAGAATGGGGACACTGCAGGCCACCAGCTGTGACTTAGGGCATGATGAAGGAATGATGGGAACAGTTCACCTCCTGCTCTGTGTGGGAAATACGGACAAGTCAGCGCCCGGAGCCAGGAGTCGGGCATGTGCACTGACAGGACACGGCAGGTGGTGACACCACTGGCCTGGCTATTCTTGGCTGGCCAGCTGACCTGTCCTCTACATCTCTCATGCCTCCGACACTGATGTCCATTCTGGATGAAGAACTGGAAGTCATAGTGATGTTGATCAAATGTGTGGATAGAATAAAAGAAGAAACACTAGAAGAATATCAAACATCTTAGAGACAAAGCCTGACTTGGAAAGAAAAAGAACTTTACAGGGAGCCAGGAAAAGACTCTCAACTTGAGTGGGCTGCAGGGAGCTGCAGGGGCAGGTAGCTATGACCCTGGAATCTATTAGACTACACACACAGTCTAGGCATATGAGCAGCAGGGTGTGTGTGTGTGTGTGTGTGTGTCTGTGTGTGTGTGTGTGTCTGTGTCTGTGTGTGTCTGTGTCTGTGTGTGTGTGTGTCCCTGTGCTTTCTTTCTCTGCTCAAAGCAGGTGCCATAGCTTCACTTGCAGCTTTTTGAATTTTGAATTCTTTCCTGAATTTTATTTGTATAAAAGTCAGGGACTTTATTGATGTCTTAAATTCAATACAAGTCAGAATAATTGAAAACCCAGGTACTGCCTTAAAGTACTCAGAACAAGACCTGTAAGGGACAGGGGCTGAGTCTGGTGTCTGGAAGCAGCCTGAGGTTGCCTAGCACTGTGGCACCTTAGGTCAAAGCAAGGACACAAATGTGGGCTGGTATAGAACTTTAGTACACATGTTGAAATCAAAGGTAAATAAGTCATCTGTGTGTCTGCCAGTACTGGGCTTAAACTCAGTTCTGGGCTTAAACTGTCCCTTCGCTTTTTCGCTCAAGGCTAGCATTCTAGCACTGGAGGCACACCTCTACTTCTGGTGATTAATTGAAGATAAGAGTCTCATGGGGGCTGGGAAGGTGGCTTGGTGGTAGAGCGCTTGCCTTGCATGCATGAGGCCCTGGGTTCCATTCCTCAGCACCACATAAGCAAAAAGAAAAAAGCCGGAAGTGGCGCTGTGGCTCAAGTGGTAGAGCGCTAGCCTTGAGCTGAAGAGCTGAGGGACAGCGCCCAGGCCCAGAGTTCAGGCCCCACAACTGGAGGCCCCCCCCAAAAAAAAGGTTTAAGAGTTATGTAAGTCAAGTAAAGAATACATTTCTTTTTTGTTGTTGTTGTTAGTTGGTAGTGGGGCCTGAACTCTGGGCCTGGGCGCTATCTCTCAGCTCTTCAGCTCAAGGCTAGCACTCTACCACTAGAGCCATAGCGCCACTTCGGTTTTCTGAGTTGTTTATTGGAGATAAAAGTCTCACGGACTTTCCTGTCTGGGCTGGTTTTGAACCTCAGTTCTCAGATCTCAGCCTCCTGAGTAGTTAGGATTACAGGCGTGAGCCACCGGTGCCGGCAAGAGTACATTTCTTTTCTTTTTTTTTTTTCCGGTCATGGAGCTTGAACTCTGGGCTTGGGTGCTGTCCTTGAACTCTTCAGCTCAAGGTGAGTGCTCTACAGTGCCACTTCCAAGAGTACATTTCTTTTTTTTCTTTTTCTTTGTTTTTTTGGGGGTCCGGTTGTGGGGCCTGAACTCTGGGCCTGGGCGCTGTCCCTCAGCTCTTCAGCTGAAGGCTAGCGCTCTACCACTTGAACCATAGTGCCACTTCCGGCCTTTTTCTTTTTGCTTATGTGGTGCTGGGGAATCGAACCCAGAACCTCAGGCATGCAAGGCAAGCGTTCTACCACTGAGCCACCTTCCCAGCCCCCAGGAGTACTTTCTTTATGGACAATGTCACCCTTCCTCTTGCTGCTCTCCCCCAGTTTTCCCCTCCCATCCTCACCCACAGTTGTATAGTTCATTTTCAACAGTGAGTACCACTGCTACATTTGTTCACCCTTTTTTCCCTCCATTTTCGTGCCCATCTGTGCATTTGTAGAGGCTGGGATAGTCTTCACACAAGCCATCTTCATATTCAGTCTGGCTGTTTGTGTTGAAAAGTCCTCAAAGCAAGAGTTGGGGGGTGGAGCCTTCAGCGGTGGTAGGTATGGGGTGGTGCTCTCCTCGGGGTAGATATAGAGCAGATGGTTCTTCATGGTGATGGTGGTTCATTATCAAGTAAGTTCAAGCACGTCTCACACTCAGCATGGGGCCTGAGGCTGAGCACTGGAGCCTGGGGAGGGAAAAGAAAGCAGCCGGCAGAGCACATTTCCAAAGATGGCGAGCCAGGTGGAGAGCGGGTGCCCAGGCCTCCCCATCTGCAAGGGCACGCTGCCTCTCCCTGTGTCAGGTGGACCTCCCAGCGGCTCTCACCATGCTGCATTCAGACCTTCCACCTCGGCCTCCAGAACCGTGCCTATTGGTGTTGGTGAGTGCCGCGGCTCACGTTAATCCAGCCATTCAGGAGGCCACGATTGAGATCAGCTTAGGCAAATGTAAGGTCCGCTCCTGGATGGCTAGCAGACTCCACCCTCCTCGCAGCGAAGTCTCCACCCAGTACCTGCATTACCTAGGCAACTGGGACACCTGGAAGAGGTCACATCTGCATCCACTGTGGTCACATCTGAATTTGATGTGGCCACACCTTTCCCTGCCCATACCCTAGATAAGGCCTAACGCAGGCCCAGGCTCTCTGTTCTATTCTAGCTCTCTCTCTGTTGGTTTCTAGCTCTCTGCTCTCTGCTCTCTCTCCCTTTTCTAGCTCTTCTCTCTCTTTCCTTTCTTTCCTCTTTCCTTTCCCAGCCACGTGGAGTGCCAACCTTGCCTGGTCCCAGCAGGTCTACTGAATAAACCTACCCCTTACCTGAATACCACGTGAGTGCTACTGTTCTTACCCCTCTCTCTGCTCTTTTCTAGCTCTTTCCTCTCTTTCCCAGCTCTCTCTCATTCCCAGGCCTTTTCCAGCCACGTGGAGTGCCAACCTTGCCTGGTCCCAGCAGGTCTACTGAATAAACCTACCCCTTACCTGAATACCACGTGCGTGCTGGTGCTGTTCTTACTTGGTTACCTCTTGTTAAAAACCTAACAACAAAAAACATTCAAGAGACCCCATCTTAATCAATATAAAGCTGGACACAGAGCTCAGTACCTGTGACATCCCAGTATAGACAATAGTGACTCAGACCAGCCCAGTCATAAATATGATACATACACATGAGACCCTGTTTGAAAAACAATGAAAGCAAAAGGGCTGGGGCATGAGTGCGTGCTTGGAAAGCACAAGGCCCCAGTGCAAACCCTAGTACTGCCAAGAAAAAGATCTGCTGTTTGTCATCCATCGGTGACTCCCAGTGTCCTTGACCTTGTCTTGTCCTTGTCCATTCCGGATGCCTCCCTCTCTAGCTTCCCCTTGTTCAATGTGAGAGTCTTGTTTCTACCTTCTCAGTGTCCATCTGCTTCCCATGGTCTCACACCCCATGAGACCACCATGCCCACCCCATCCCCTCTGCCCAGAGCAGTAGAGATGCAAGACCCCAGAAATCACCTTGTCTTGTTGCTTTTAGGGGGAGCCTTGAGACTTCCCTTTTACCCATGAGTTTCTGTAAGACTGTGGCTGGATTCTGTGCCGCTCTCTGGGTGGGTGGGAAAGACAGTCCTCAGGTTATTTTGCCCAGCATCCTACTGGACACATAATTCTCAGGTCCCAACAATGCCAGGGAGAAACAAGTGTCTTGGTGTGCTTTGGCGTGAGGTGCGGGGTGGGGCAGAGCAGAGTCTAGGCTCATTGATCACCTTCTTCCTATCACCGGGGTCTCCGGTGACCTACAGGAAGCATCTAGATGAAGAAGCCTAGGCCACTTCCCTCCTGAGAGTCCTGGCTTTGTTCTAGTTGCTCCCTAACTCAAAGAGAGTCTGGAAGATTGGATGGGAAGGAAAAGGTGGGGTTGCCGGTGGCCTGAGTGCCCTAGTAGGGTCTTCCTCGCAGGGCACCCCCTGGTGGCCTTCCGAATGAGGACTGGGTAATGATGCTCCAGAAGACTCTCAAGTACTCACAACACAGCCACATCTCCCTGCTCAGCTCACTGGGGGAGAGGCCAGGGGCACCGTTCCATAGACCTGCTCCCATGCTCTTCTTCCCGGCCCGGGCATCGTACTGGCTGCAGGCTTGGCAGGAAGGATCGTGCAGGAGACACCCAGATTCCAGGGCTCCAGACGCTAGTGCCCAGATGAGTGGGTGTCTCTCAGCCTCCACCCACCCTCCCCGATGAGGTGGAAATTCCTGCTCTTACCTGTTGTGGGAATTCCTGCAAAGCACTAGCAAACTGGTACTTACTGAACCAGTGAAACAGTTCCCTTTGTCTTATTCTTTGGAAAGACATAGACCACATGGTATTGTTTGTAATTAGAACCCTAATCACTAGTACGTAAATGGGAAATTCCTGGTTGTTTGGAAAAGCCCTTTAATAGTAGCTACTGCTGCTTTTCCTCCTCCTCTCCCTTTTCCTCCTTCTCCTTCTCTTTTTTGGTAGTTAATTAAAGATAAGAATCTCAAGGATTTTTTCCCCCCTGGGCTGGTTTTGGACTGTGATCCTCAGATCTCAGCTTCCTGAGTAGCTAGGATTACAGGTGTGAGCCACCAGCACCTGGCTAGGTTTTGGTCTTGGGGGATAGGGTCTTACTAGGTAGCATGGTCTGGCCTCAACCCCTTCATCCTCCTGCTTTTCCCTGCTGAAGGCAAGGTGACAAGAATGCCCCGCCATGCCCAGCTTTACCTTTAACTCTTAAGGAGAATAAATGCCCCTCCAGACTTGTGTTAATTCTGCTTATAAGGCTTAAAAATAGCCCCAAGGAAAACCTTAGGCTGGAATGCAGGTAAAGTGTTAATTACAGGAAAGCTGCAGAGTCAGGGAGTGAAAGGTGCTGTCTTTTGTCCAGTCTTGGGTGGCTGAGTCTGATTAGTCCAGCCTGTAGGGTTAGCTCTCTTCCCTAGCAGAAACAGCCAATAAATGGAGTCAAGCTGTTTTATTTTGAAGTCAGGACAAATCAACATTCTTTTCAGATGATGATTCCATCCTGTCTAGCTTTTTAAAAAACATTTTCATTATCCTTAGGTTGTACAGATGAGTTGTACAGTTGATGAAGCCAATGTCTCCCATTCCAACTTTCTCACCCATCCCTCTCCTACCCACTCCTTTCCCTACTCTTCCTTTTTAAGCATTTTTATCATTAAGGTGAGGTACAGAGGGGTTACCATCTCATAAGTCAGGTAATGAGTACATTTCTTTTTGGACAATGTTACCCTTCCTTTGCTTTCCCCCAGTTTTCTCTTTCCAGTTTTTAATATTTCTAAATAGAATGTACTTGTTTTTACCTTTATAAAAGGAGATGGCATTTTCTTGCTGTGTGGCCTTGGGTAGATCCCTCACCCTCTCTGGATTCAGTTTACTAGGATTTGAACTCAAGGCCTGGGCACTATGCCTTAGTGTTTTTCACTCAAGACTAGCACTCTTATCACTTGAGTCATTGCTTCAGTTCTGCCTTTTAGTTAATTGGAGAAAAGAATCTCAAAGACTTTCCTGCCTGGGCTGGCTTTGAACCTCAACCCTCAGCTCTCAGCCTCCTGAGTAGCTAGGATGACAGGCGTGAGCCAGTGGTTAGCTCCCCTCATTTTCAAAGTGCGGATGAGTCAAACCCCAGCAGCAGCCAAAGTAATCATAAAAAAGAAAATGAGACCAGTAAAGTGAAGCCAGCCCAGCACCTCACAGCGTGTCTGATGGTGGTGGGTGCTCTGTCCACACAGCCCTGGCTTCTGGGAACACCTGCCAGGCGTCTGCTGTGCCTGCTACACCTGTGGGACATAAGAGGTCCCTGGTGGAAGGGGCTCACTTCGGGACACCCCATTCCTGTTGGTCATGCCTCTAAGGACAGCTGGTCTTCCTCCTGTTCCTCCCTCCTCCTCTTCCCTCCTCCCTCCTCCTCTTCCCTCCTCCCTCTTCCTCTTCCCTCCTCCCTCCTCCTCTTCCCTCCTCCTCTTCCCTCCTCCCTCCTCCTCTTCCCTCCTCCCTCCTCCTCTTCCCTCCTCCCTCGGGTGCTTCATTGTTCTGCAGGTAATTAAGGTTTGCTTCCGCTCAGGGAAGCAGGGAAGGGAAGGGCAGGAATGCAAACACTAGGCAAGTGACCCGCGGGGAGTCCTATGGTGGTGTGACCCCTGCCTGTGTACGGAAACCGTCAAACACTTCTTAGCCATGCAGGATGCAGGAGGCCGTGGCCAAATGTCATCAGGGGCTTCTGGGTGGCGTCCCTAGCCCAGCACAGCCCCGCCCAGCACAGCCCGTGGCTCTGCTGAGAGGGAATTCTTAGGAGTGGAGTGGGGCTTGGGGAGGGGATTTGTTAGACAGGTGTGGAATTCACCTGGAAAGTGGCCTCATAGCCCTAGGCCAGTCGGGCTGAGCAGTGGGGAAGGCCTGTAAAGAGGACAAACGTGAACCACGTCAGCGGGACCAGGAAACTCTGGCACTCAGAAACTAGAAACTTTTTTGGATTCTCACTTTGCCTTTCTACTGGGAATTTAAGATAATTAAATTGGAAAAACGTAACCAAAGTCCCTGGTGTGTGTGTGTTTAAGTATGTTTGAAAACCTGTAAGACTATCAGGTTAGATGGTAAGGAATATTCTCATTGAATAAGTATAATTGTTTCTAGGCATGACAGATGGCAGATGTACTCATTTCTGGAACTACCATGTTCCCCAGCTCCTGGGCTTGACAAGGAAGGAGAGTGCACTGAGGTAAATACTTCCAACCTTGGTGCACAGGGGCAGAAATTGCCTGGAGACTAGGTGACTCCATGGACGGTATAGTGGCTGTGCGATATTCACTGTAGGCTCTGGGAGTCGGTTCCTGTCAGGAGAGTGGAAGGGGATTCAGAAGGTGGCTTTTGTGTGTGTGTGTGTGTGTGTGTGTGTGTGTGTGTGTGTGTACGCGCGCACGCTTGCGCGCTCACCTTTGTGCCAGTCCTGGGACTAGAACTCGTGGTCTTTCATGTTTGTTTAGCTTTTTCATTCAAAGTTGTGTTCTACACAACAAAGTTGTGTTCTACCCCCACTTCCAGCTTCTTGGTTATTTGGGGGACAAGGGATCACAGACTTTCCTGCCTGGGCTGGCTTTAAAGGATGATCCTTAGATCTCAGCCTCCTGAGTAGGTAGCATTACAGGTGTGAGCCACGATGCCCAGCCAGAATGCAGCTTTTGTATCTCCATTCTTCCAGGCGATCCAGCCCAGTTTGACATAAAGCTCTGGTCTGGGTTCAGAGCCACACCCTCCAGGCAGACAGCATGTATAGCTCAGGCTATGGTCAGCTAGGCACTGTTCCATCTGAGAGTGGGCAGCGTGAGCTCCCCTGGGCTCCTACAGAGCTCAACCCCCCCCCCCCTTCCTCCTAGAAACTCAACCTGAGCACAGGGAGAGAATCTACAATCAGAAGCCTTTCTTTTAAAGAGCTATTAAACCTAACAAATAGCCCTGCAGAATGGGATGGAGATCTCAGCGCATTTGAGGGCACAGCTGCGGTCTGGCTTCCCATGTCAAAGGAAAAGGGTACAGAAGAGGACAGGACAGGACACCATGCTGCTCTTGCTGTGTGTCTTGGGACTGCCCCATGTATGTGGACAAATAGGGCCGACAGTAAGGATTGACAAAGAGGACAGATTCAAACAGGAACAAAGATCAGTTTTGCTGTAAATGTGAGGTACAGAGGGGTTATAGTTACGTAAGTAAGGTAATAAGTGCATTTCTTTTTGAACAGGGTTACTTCCTCCCTCATTTTCTGGTAGCCTGATTCTTTTGGTGGGTGACAAGGTGTTCCATTTCCTGTCACAGGCTGTGGCCACTTAGCCTATGGCATCCCTTATTTTCCTTCAGTTTGTTTCTAGAAGCCAATGTTGTCATCCTGTGTGCCTACATGCTGGCATTCCCTGTGTACAAACATATGGGAGATATGACAAATTCCAGACTTGGGTGGTTGTTAGTTCACAGTTTATTGCAAGCCTGTGAATGTGCCACTGGGGTGAGCAGCCTCGGAGACATGTGGAAGGAGGAACAAGACCCGTCCCACCAGTTATACAGGGCGGGTGCCTGGCCTCCGCCCACAGCACCATCCTGCAAATGTCTGTGGAGCCGTGAACTCACGTGGGGACAGGTGGTCTCCAGCCTGCACTTCCGGTTACTCCAGTTATGCTGCAAAAAGTCCAGCAGGATTTGAATTATTCAACTTGATAGATCTGGTGACTGATAGGAAATACTTAGATTTTTCCCCCCTCCAAATGAGAAGGGATTTCTTTTGTTTTTACCCAAAATAACTCGGATGTAATGAGTAAGGGAGCAATCCTACTGAAAGAGCAACTCCCGCGTGAACATGCAGGAAGTACCTGGGACTGCCCTTATTTGTACTGTCACATCTGTGGAGAGAGGCTGGCCGCAGCTCACCTGCCAGCTCCGGCTCCATTCCCACAGCCTATCCAGCTGCCCTCCAGATCCTTGCTCAGGAAGGCCCCGCGGATGCTGGGTCAGGAGCACACGCACTGCCGGGAACACTGACCCTGGCAGATGGGGGGAGGCTGAATGCCCCAACCCTTGGCCCAGTTTCAGGGTCAGGTGCAGTAAACCCAGGGAGCCAGACCCAGGAAGGTTGCGGTAGGCCCTGGAGACTCCTGCATTTCTCTGCGGGGTGCCATGACGCAGCCCCGCGCACCCCACGCCAGCCCCACCGGCCGTGCATCACCCTGCCCCAGGCGGGGAGGGGCCGCAAACACACGTGGCTGGGGCGCAATACGACCCAGCCAGACCGACCCACACACAGTGGCCGCGGGGCTCCGGCGCACCGCGTGGGCACCGAGCGAGCAGCACCCGGGCTCCCCTCTGCCGAGGGGGCGCGGCCGGGACGCGCGAGGCCTTTAAGGGGGCGGAGGGGGCGTCCCGGCCCGCGGGGTCCCGCGCGTCCCGGCCAGGCCCCGCCTCCCCGGCCTAGCTCCGCCCCTCCCGCTTCCCCGGGCGCCCTGGCCCCGCCCTCCGGAAACGCCGGCCCCCCCTCCCCAGGGCGCCCGGCCCCGCCTCCCCGGCCCCGCCCCGCCCCCGGCGCCAAGGCCCCACCCCCGCCCCACCTCCCAGGGCCCGCCCCCGGCCCCGCCTCCCCGGCCCCGCCCCGCCCCCGGCGCCAAGGCCCCACCCCCGCCCCACCTCCCAGGGCCCGCCCCCTGCCCCGCCTCCCCGGGCGCCCCGCCCCGCGCCGGGGCCTCCTTCAGCCACTGCCCGGCGGCGGGCGGGCCGGACGCCCGGGGAGGCGCGCCAGGAGGAAGCGCGCCCCGGCTGTGGGCCCCGAGAACTTCCCAGACGCGCGGGTCGGGCGCGCCCGCCGCCCCAGCTGCTCCCGCGTCCCGGGTTCCCAGGTGTGCGGGGGATTGGGGCGCGGAGCCGGGCCCGGGGCCGCCACGCGCGCGCGCGGGCCCGGCGTCTCCCCCGAGCGCGCCCCGCCCAGCCTCGGGCCTCTGGGCGCCGCGCCCCCCTCCCCCGACCCCCGGCCCCCGGCCCCGAGGGCTCCGACCCCGTCCCCGGCCCCGAGGGCGGCCCGGTGGGCCGGGCATGCGCCGGCAGCATGGGCCGGCCGGGCTGGTGGCTGGAGGAGGCGCAGTGGCTCGCCTTGGTGTCGCTCTTCGTCGCCGCCCTGGTCACGGTGGGCCTGTACCTGGTCCAGTGCGTCCTGGCCGGGACCCGACGCCCGGGCCCGCGGCCGGCGGCGCCCGAGCCGGGGCAGCGCCCGGCGCCCGACGCGCTGCTCTCCTGGATCCTGACGCTGGACAGCTGGAGGAGCCAGTGGCAGGCGGCCTGGGTGGCCGCCCTCAACCGCGAGGCCCGCAGGAGAGGGGTGAGGGTCCGCGGGCTCGGGCGCTGGGTGGGGGGCGGCCGGTGCGGGCGTGGGGCGGAGCCTGCGGACCGCAGCGCCTGGGAAAGCGGAGGACCCTGGTGGGGTTCCCGGACCAAGTGTCTGCCCCCCCTCCCCCGAACACCGGGAGCCGCAACTGGGCTCCCCAGAACAGCGTGGCTGTTGGGGGGACGCTGGGAGAGCCCCCTCCCCACCCCCTGCCCGCTGACCCTCCCTTCCTGGCCTTGCCCCGTGCGTGGGGCATTACTGATCTCGCGTCTGGTAAAGGAGTACTTGTGACCCAAATATGCTTCCATCTCTAATCCAGCCCAACTCCAGGCATTTATTTCTAAAAAGGCTTGCATTTCTGGGCATGTAAAAATAGTACCCATTTGCTTGAGGTCCTGCCACTTGGCCAGCCATTTTGATGAGGGTTTTAGCTTTGTATGCCCATCTCTGAGTCAGCACAAGTCCCAGCAGAGATGTCCTCACCGTTGTACAGGTGGGGAGACTGAGGCCGGGAGGGGTTAGGGCCCCCACAGCCCGCGGGGCAGAGCCTGGGTGTGAACTCAGCTGCTTTGACCTGAAACCCTGGGGCTTGTTGCTGACTCTTGTGCCTCACGCGCCTTGCTTCTTTCATTGTTTATTGCTGGTGACTTATTTTTACTTTTATGACATTTTAGTTTAGTGGCGAGCTCTTGGCGTCTGCTATTTGGAGGCATTCCACGGGAAAAGTGGGGAGCTGGTGGGTTTATGGCAGCACCTTCTAGCACCGCAGCTGCCCTTTGCCTTCAGGTGTCTACCTCCTTCCTGCACCTGCTGGGAGACCCTGTGGAGAAGCCTGGGGCCACTGGCCTTGGAAACAGCCAATGCCCCAAGGCTGGACCATCAACCTTCAAAATATTCCACAGCAGGCTTCCAGCCTGGTCATTGTGCCCTGGCCTTGGCACATGTGACTGTGGAGTTATAAAAAACAGGCTTGGAGTGTAAGTCCACATGAATCTAACAATCCGAGAGACTTTGTTCTGAGCCCTTGGAACTAATAATTGTACCTTTTGGATGGAGGCTTCGGGGTCATCTAGCTGACATCCATCCTGGTGCCTAGAATTCAGGTCCAGCAACCAAGAGCTGGACACCAACCAGGGTCAGCAAACACAGCAGCACAAACATGGTTTTGCCCCCTGTGAAGCTGCCGTTCCTGACCCCTGATTGACTTGGTGTGTCACAGGCCTTGCTTGTGTGCTGAGCCGACTGGGGCCTGGTAGCCTGAGCGGATGCTAGTCTCGTCCACATTCCCTGCAGAATGCCAGTAAGGTCCTGAGCAAAAATTTCCCGATGGAGTTTGAGGTTCAAGGGCAGTGGCCATTCTTTCTAGAAATTGAGGGGTGGTTGGCTTCATGTCCTGTCACTTCTTGGCTTCCAAAAAGCTGGCCACCTTAGACAAAATATTGCTGGCTTTCACTGAACCTGAAGTGTTTGTAGAGAGAGAGGGGGACCTCTCTCGTCCTGGCACGTGTCATGATTGAGGGTTTGGGATGAAAACTTGTCACCCAAATCACCAGAGTCTTTGTAACTATGGGCTGGGGGAAAGTACTCAGGCCAAGGAAGGAGATTTGGCTTGTTTGTGTTTCTCTGTCCTCTTTTCTGCTCCTGGTCAGGAGCGGAAGTGGTAGATGTCGCGCGGTAAGGTCCTGGGTTCAGGTTCAGAGCAGCCTGGCATCTCACATGCATGGACGTACATGGGCATTGTGCACCTCATCTGGGCATCAGGTCACCCTCAGTGAGGTGGTGGTGTCCTGTTTTCCTGGCACAGAACTGCATTAACTGGGATGGGTGCTTGATTTGAATTGAAATGCATCTCCGTAAGTCACCTCCCTGCTGTTGACTTGTCGTTTCTTAGTGTCCTGGGCTGTCTAGCTGTGAGAGTAATGACGGTGTGGGCGAGTGGGTGCTGGTTTTTGTGCTACTGGAGCTCAGCGGCCACGCCTGCCGACAGGAGTTTCTCGGTGCACCCCCGCCCCCCACCTTAATTCCCACTAATCTGAGATTAAGGCTGACACTCCCAGCCCGTGCTCTGCACAGAGAGAGCCACAGCTTAGTGGTCCCCCTGCCCCCCACTGTCCCATCTCTGTTCATCCAGGGAGGAGAGGACCTTGAGGCCGGTCACCAGTGGACAGAGAGGCACGCAAAGCTCCGTCGTAGAGAATCAGCCATGGGAGGTGGGGGTTTTCTATCCACCGGAGATAGTAGCCCCATCCATTCTAAGTTTTACTGCAGTTCTGTGTTTTACGATGCTTAGAAGCCCCAGACTTTTGACTGTGTATGCTGGTACCGGGGCTTGAACCCTGGGCCTGGTGGCGAGTTGGAGATAGGAGTCTCACAGACTTTTCTGTCCAGGCTGGCTCTAGACTTTGATTCTCAGATCTCAGCTACCTGAATAGTTAGGGTTATAAATGTGAGCCACTGGTTTAGGGTTGAAACCCTAAACTTTCCTGCTAGAATCTCTTCCTGCTGCAGAAGTGGGGGCTGAGGCCTGTGAGCTGGGAGAATGTGCTGCGGTTGGCTTAGAACCTGGGCTGGCTTCCTGATGACCCATTCACTCCTGGCTGCGGATGCACTGCCTCCTGTGGGAACCATGTGCAGCTCCAAGCCTGAGAGTGTCTTTTGATTGATTTTTTTTCCCCCACCAGTCCTGGGGCTTGAACGCAGGTAGCACTCTACCCCTTGAGCCACAGTACTACTTCCAACTTTTTCTGTACTGAGGAATCAAACCCAGGGCTTCATGCATGCTATACCTCTATACCACATGCCACTCCCAGCCCCAAGTGTGTCTTTTGAGGGAAGTCCATCAAGAAGGGCCCAAAGGGTGTGGTTGTCTATAGTCATCTTAAGCAAGGAGACTTAGGTCTCCTGGGATCTGAGGACTGAGTCGCTGCTCTGTTATTGATCCCGGGTTCTTTTCTGTATTCCAGTAACCAGTGGTTGGAGCAGTGCAGGTTCGGGGTATCGGAGAGGACCCCGGAATCCAGCCCTCATCCCAGAAAGACAAATTTTGTGGGGTGGTGAGGTGCTCAGGTAGGAGAGGAGACCGTGGCAGAGCTGCCAGCTGACTTAGTGACGCATAGGTGTGCAAGGAGCCCAGAGAACCCCCATACCCGTCCCTCCCACCCAGCGCACACTTAGAAGCCCTGCTTGTGATTTTCACAAGTTCCTCAAGTGCCTTCCATGGGCTGGGTATAGCCCTGTCCCCACACACTCAGAGATCCTTGGTGAAGGACCAGCAGCACTGTCTCTCATGTGTCACCACACAGCCAGGTGTGACAAGCACCCAGATCCTATCGATGGCCTCACCCTTGGCTCACCTAGAGTGGGAGGTCTCCGTGGGGCTCAGCTGCCCAGGCCGCCCGAGCTGAGCGCTCTCATTATATCTGAAGGCAGCAGCTCACGTTTCCCCTTCAGCCTGTGTTTACACGAACTGGAACAGGAGGGTGGTGATAATGATCGGTTTCACCAGTGATGGTCCACACCCGCCGCCCACCTAGGAGCCCTGCGATTGTTGCTTCCACTGTCTCTCTAGCTCTGGAAGCCGCTGTGCTGGCAGTAGTAGCACACGGGGCCCGGGGCTTCCTTTCCAGCTGATGTTCCTGTGACAGCACTGGTTGCAGAGTAAAGGTGGAGTTTGATAACCAGGTGTGCCTGGTTACGCCCCTGAGTCACACCTAAGAGGGTCCCCAAAGCTGTTAATTTCTTTATAATATGTGTGTGTATAAATGCCTATACATATAATTTTGTCAGTGTTGGGGCTTGAACTCAGGAGCTGGGCATCATCCTTTAGGTTTTTCACTCAAGACTTGGCCCTCTACCACTTGACCCACAGCTCCACTTCTGGACTTTTTGGTGGCTTATTGGAGATTAGAGTCCCATGGACTTGCCTGCCTGGTCTGGCTTTGAACTGCAATCCTCAGATCTCAGCCTCCTGAGTAGCTAGGATGACAGATGGGAGCCACTGGCGCCCAGCCAGCCTGGGATTTCTTCACAATGTTCTGATGCAAGTTGACCAAGATTCTGTGACAATATGCAGTCTTTGTGGGAACAGGATACTATGTAAACTTCTTAGCACAGTATACAAACGGCTTTGACTTGTCATTTTCTACAAACTACATGTAAACAAAACTTGGAGTTTTCTCCTCACATAATGACCTTTGGGTTGCGCTTACAAACCCCAATGACAGTGACTGAGGTACAGCAAATCCACTAGAGACATTGTGGCAGCCCTTCTCGGTAGGTCCATGAGTCTGCCCTCCTCAAAGAAGAAAGCAAAGAGAAGGGAAGGGGCTTGTGGGAGCTGTGAACTCTGCAACCTTCCCTCATCCCATCTCTCCTGCCGGGGCCTTCCACAGGGTGTTGTCTCTTGCCTGCCTTCTCCTTATTTAACTTCTCTAAATCTTTCAGATCTCAGCTCAAAGGCCCCTGCGGAGGTGCTGCACCAGGCTGACAGTGAGTGGCAGCCTGCGCTGGTCTCCCTGGCTGGCACCTGGTGGTTATTTGTGCTTTCTGCCTTGTGAGCCGGGGCAGGACTCCATCCATCCAGGCAGCGCTTGTCCCAGCACCCGATTCAGAGCTGGCTTGGAGCAGGCCCTGGTCAACAGCAGGGTGAGAGAGCCCGGCCTGGTGGAGGGGCTGCACATATCACACTGCCTGGACACTAGCCCTCTGGCTTGGGAGTCATCCAAGCCTGGGCAGAACACGCTGTTTAATGGGCTTTGTTTTGCACTTCTGAAGAGTCAACATTAAAGGAGCTGGCCCGTGACTTTGCAGATGTCCACGGAAAGCCCAGCAACAGTGCACTCAGCACTCAGCCCTGCTCCCAACAAGACAGGAATTCAGGAAAGAGTGGGTGTAGGGTCACTGCCAGCCAGAATTCAGCCAAAGCTCACTGTTTGTCCCGCCAGCCCACTGCAGGATGCTGAGGAGGAAAGGGACAGCTTTGGCTGCGGGAAGCAGTCCCGGAGGGGACTGCCCGGATTTCAAACCCAGCATTCACCTGCTACACAAGCCCAGACTCTGTGAAGCAGGGGACTTGGCTTCGATCTGAGACGCAGAGTGCCATCCCAGAGAGATGAGATGAGCCTTGCGTGGGCCTCTAGCAGAACGTCTGGCCTGTAGTGAGTTAAAAAGATGGACTGCTCTTTCTCAGAAGTCTCCTTGTTAAACTCTGTGTTGCATTGCTTTCAGACTGGCAGAGAAGTTGAAAAATAATTCAAGAGTATCTGTGCACCCCTCACCAACCTTCTATAATCACAACTCAGTGATTAGAACCAAGGATAGACCTTGGTCCCGTGTTACTATAATTCATATTAGAGAAATCAACATGGCACAGTACGAGAAGGTAACTTTGGTACAGTGTTGTCATAATTCACATCCCCATGAAATTAATAATAGATTAGTGCAAGGAAAGATAGCATTGTTGGACACCTTTAATAATGGACTGGAATGGAAACCCTCAGGACTCCAGATACTTGGTAGCCCCGAAATCTGGGTTCCTCCTTCTTACCTTAAAGTTCATGACCTTACTTGGGCTAGGCAGTGTTTGTGTATGTATGCCCTTCCTGGGGCTTGAACTCAGAACCTGGGCACTGTGCGTTTGCCTTTTGACTCAAAGCTGGTACTCTAGCATTTGAGCCACATGTCCACTTCTGGCTTTTTGCTGGTTAACTTTGAGGTAAGTGTCTTACAGACTTTCTTGCCCAGGCTGGCTTCAAACCATGATCCTCAGATTTCTGCCTCCTGACTAGCTAGGATTACAGGTGTGAGCTACCAGTGCCCAGCAGTGGATCATTATTTTGATGAATGCCTCTCATTTTGGATCAAGGCGGCACAGCCACAGTAGTGGCGCCCCATAAATGCAGTGTTGGGGGGAGCTGTGATGCTGTGGTGACTTGTGGCCAGGAAGTTTGGTCCTGGTCCCTTGGACAAAGTGGTGTCTGGCAGGTTTTTCCTCATACTTTGCCTGCTGTTTCTCCCCTGTACTTAACACCTGTGGTGAGGAGCTGCTTCGGGACTAGGATCCCTTTCACTCCTAGGTGAACTTAGGGTCATTGGTGTATCTCATCTGTAGTAGTGACTTCCTGGAGTGTATTTAGGGATGGGTTTTCCTTCTGCACTCCTTCCACATTTTTCACTTGGGACTTCCTTCAAGGAGCAACAGTTACTTCTGCACCGTGTATTGAGCCGGTTATTTACGTCAGTGTGGACTGGTGAATGATTGTTTTATTCTGTGGCTTGTAATCTAATCCCATCACGATTTATGGCTTCACATACTCTCGTGTGAGCTCCAGCCACTGCCTCCTTCTCAGATGCACGCTTTGCATTCCACTTCTTGCTTGATGGTTCCAGGAGACTTTTTTTTTTTAAAACGTTTGTCCTGTGTGTTCCCCCGTCCCGTTCCTCTGAGCAGCCTGGGCTGCAGTTTTTGGACTGGAGTCTGCGATCCAGGTGTGCTCATCTGCGTGGCTCTCATTCCTTCTAGATGCTTTCTGTGGACAGGGCACAGCTGTGTGTCCAACAAACTCAGGTGCCCATGTCTGTTTTCCTGTCTTTAGCTTCTGAGCCATGGAAGTAGATATTTTGCCTCCCAATTCAGCAGCAACGAGAACCTCTCAGTCTTCTCTTTTTCTCACTTTTTAACGTTCTTCTCCGGGAGAAGATGGGTATGGTACTGTTTTCATGTGTATGCAGATGGTTTCTGGATTGTGGAGCCACCCGTAGCTTGTTGGCACCTCCTGCGCATTCACACTGTTGGCATATAGTCGGAAGTTTGTTTCCTGAAGCTTCCTAGGCCAGACTCTTCATCCCAAGTCCTTCAGGGCAGTTATGTTATTTTATTTGTAGTGTCAGACTCATTTGTTAGTTTGTTTCTCTCTGGTGTTCTTCCATTTCCTATTTTTTTTAATGCCTTTTAAAAAAAATACCAGTACTATAGCCTGAACTCAGGATCTGGGTACTGTCCCTTACTTTTTCACTCAAGGCTCACACTCTACCACTTGAGCCACAGCTCTACTTCTAGACTTTTGCTGGTTATTCAGAGAGAACAATCTCACAGACTTCCCTGCCTGGGATGGCTTTGAACTGTGATCCTTAGATCTCAGCCTCTTATGTATCTAGGATTATAGGCATGAGCCACCGGTGCCCAGCTTCTGTCTGTTCTTAAACATAATAATTTATTTCTTTTGTTAGACCATTCGTTCCTGCTAAATTGCCAGCATTGATGACTCACACTGTAATCCTGCGTTCTTGAGAGGCTGAGATTGGGAGGACTGCAGTCCTAAGCTTGTGGAGCAGTAAAAGTTTTGAGTCTCCTTTCCAACAGAGTTGGGTGTGGTGGTACATACCTGTGCCTGTCATCTTAGCTACAACTGGACGCCTAACAGGCGTCACACCTTCACAGGCAACACACAGGGCTGGAGGCATGGCTCAGTGGTAGAATGTGTGCCTAGCAAGCATGAAGCCCTGCGTCCAAACCCTACTACTGCCCAAATGCTACTGCTATTACTACGAATACATTTCCAAGCAAACTCTTATGAGTTTGACGTGGAGGCCATCCAGGTGAGAAGGGACACCCACCCTGTCTGCAGGACCACATTTCCAGGTTGCTCAGAACGGGCACAGCACAGTTCGCTCTCCTTGGCAGCTGGTGCCTGCCTCTGGCTCTGTGTGAGGTGCTCTCCTCTGAGCCATGTGGTCGGTTCAAACACTTCCGTCAGCTCCCGGAGCCTCTGGCCTGCGGCCCCCACCAGAACAAGCTCCAGCCAGGGGCGATGTTACAAGAACAGCCAGAAACTGACTTCATCCTTCTTGACGCTCCGTTTCATGCTTCCCTGGTGACGTTTGGGGGTGAGGTGGGTGTCGCGCGTTCAGGGTAAGGTTAGTAGCTGGTAAATCAGAGTGGTCCTTGCCTTAATGAGCTGGGAACTCCTCAGATGCCGCTGGGCGGCCACTTCGTTGCTTGCTCTTTGCACCACCCTGGCCCCCACAGCTTGGGCACCGTTTCTGTCCCCCACCCCGGGCCAAGTCAGATCACTGGAACAAGCTCATCATCAGGAGTCTCTGGAGTGGACCCACACAGGCGAAGGGGCGGCCTGCATCCCCACCCATCCTCAGATCTTGTTGAATGCTGATGTGCTTTCTGTAGCATGTCAGGACAGGAGTCTGAAGGAAGGAGCCATACGATTGCTCCCATGTATGGTGAGCCTCTGTGGAAAGCTTGTTTTTAGGAGGACAAGACTTGGTTGGCTACTGCAGTCCGTGTTTGCTCTTTTATAAAGTGCTAGTCTTAGGGTCTGTGGTCATATTAATCTAACTGCCCGTCTCTCTTTTGGAGAATTTTTTTATATGAGTGTGCTACAACTAGGACTTGAACTCAGGGCCTTGCACTCTTCACCTGGCTTTCTTATACTCAAGGCTGGCACTTGAATAACCACTTGAGCAACAACTCCACTTCCAACTTTTTGCGAGTCTACTGGAGATTAGAGTCTCTCAGACTTTCCTGCCTGGGCTGGCTTTGAACCATGATCCTCAGATTTCAACCTCTGTGGTAGCTAGGATTACAGATGGGGGCCATCAGGGCCTGAAAGTCTTTTGGAGATTTTTTTTAAATTCAAGAACCATAAACTGATACAGCGATGGCAGCCTTTATGGAAGGAGCTGGTGTGTGAGCAGGGCTGAGGGTGGTCTTGAATGATGAGGACAGACAGTAGAAGCTCTGGAGGGCTGAGGACATCCTGTCTGTCTCTCTCCAGGAGAGGCAGGGCCTGGGGTTTCTTCCCACCCCTGCATTGTTTGGGCACTGGGACTGTCACGGGGTTGGAGTCACAGCGGGCCTGTGCACCAGGTTGAGGTTGCTCCCGCCAACCAGAGAAGAGACTGCCACCAGAAAGCTAGGGCCGCTAGCTGCAGGCCAGCCACCTACGGGTCCCACAGAGGAACATGAAGAGCTGTCTTAGGATTTGACACACCCTCTTTGACGCATGCCTTCCTGCACGGTCTTGGGGTGTTGTTGATGATGGTCCTTTCCCATCCTTCCCCATCCCGGGCCCTGCCTGCCAAGGGCTGCTTCTCAGGATTATGAACGTGGTGATATTTAACCATGTGGTGAATTTGTGTTATGTGTCTTCAATGTAAAGCGTTTTATAGAAAGTTTATAGTTTTTTTTTTTTAAAGCATACTGCTTTTCTCTTCTCCTCCAGGGTCCGCTGCCCCTCTCCTTCCAGCAGGACCCGCAGCCACAGGCCCTGGAGCTGGCAGTGTGGGACGTCTCCAGCCTGGTGAAGTCAGCCCAGGAGAAGGTGAGCTGCGTGGGAATAGCATTCAGCCTTTAAAAAGGGAAAGCAGCACTGATAGGTACCACACCATAATAAACTTGAAGACATGCCTCCGTGTATGATGCCAGGGTAGGAAACGTGTGAGAGCCACTAGCACCTGGATCTCTTTTTAACAGTTTTTTGTGGGTTTCATTGTGCTATTTTCACACGTATAGATAATAGACATTATAAAATTCACTCCTCCCCTAAGAATGTAATTTTTAGTTTAATTTTTGTTTTTTGTCGGTTGTAGAGCTTTTGAACTCTGGGTCTGGGCGCTGTCCCTGACTCTTCAGCTCAAGGCAAGTGCTCTACCACTTGAGCCACAGAGCCCCTTCCAGTTTTCTGGTGGTTAATTGGAGATAAGAGTCCCATGGACTTTCTTGCTTGGGCTGACTTTGAACTGCCATCCTCAGAGCTCAGCCTCCTGAGTAGCTAGGTGAGCCAGTGGCGCCTGGCTAAGATGATAGATTTAAACTACCATCTAGAGAGAAGACCTGCCCTCTGACCTTCCCCTCCCCCCTGCAGTGACTGTCCTTCTGAAATCCAGCTGCTCTCCTTCTCAGTTCTTTGTGTTTACACTTCCCCTGTGACTGCTTGGCAAGATGCTGTGCAGAGCTGGGGATGTGACTGGGTGGTAGAGTGCCTGCCTCTCAAACACAAAGCCATGAGTTCCAATCCTATTACTGTCCAAAACAAAACCTGTGGGTCTCGAGGAGAGCTTAGCTGTATACTTAGAAACAGTTAAGATGCTACTTTCTATAGTATATAGAATTCATCATAAGAATAAAAAAATGTAGACATATGTAGTCTTTTTCAAAGGTTTCTTTCACATGGTAAGAGTTGCTTACAACTTGGGCCGAGCTGTGGTTTACCGATCTTATCAAGTGCCCCCAAATTTATGACCATGGAGATCGCTTTCCCAGGTGAGGACAGGCTGCAGGCTGTGCCCTGTCTACTCTGTCTCATGCAAACCAGAGGACTCTATTACACTCATCTAATTGTCTCCTACATCGTGAACTGCTGGAGAGCCAGCCCTGCTCATGCTTTGGTGTGTCTGTCTGACCTGTTTTCACTTATTTTCCCCACCATTTAGGTTAGGGAGCACTTACTCTGCTTCCTCCCATGTGGCTTAACTTTGGGTCTGTGTCAGTCGAGCTGGGCATGGGCTGGAATGAACTAATTTAGGGGGGAGTGTTGGAGTGTTGTTGAGTTGTAGCTGTTCTCACTGCCCCTGGCATTGGTGTGTACGCGCGTGTTTATCCAGGTTTCTATAAGCAGACGTACTTGGGGAAAAGTGGACATGTTTTTAAGGGTCTTGATGCATTGCCAGGAAGGGAGCCTTGGAGCATGGACGATTACCTTGTGTTTGTGATAACGCAGTTGCAGAAATCGGATGTGGAAGTGTACAAACCTGGATGGGGCTCTTCAGCTCATTCTTGGCAACTTATTACCTGCTGGAGAGAAGTGGGAAGAGGGGCGTGGTCTTGTGTGCGGTTACGGCAGGTTTTCCCATCATCCTTGACTTTTATGTTTTCTTGGCCCAGTGAGGAAAGAGCCCTTGTCTCTGCTTTCTCGTGGACCTGGCTGGCGCTGTCCTCTGTGTTGTCATGGTCTGGTGGTCAGGTGGACTGACCCTCTGGCTCCCACCCCCAGAAGCCCCCTCATGGATATGCCCAAGCCTGCATCCTGAGCCTGTCCCCATGCCCAGGCCTCGGCGCGTGGAGTGGGGGAGGGCAGTGATCATGTTCATTCTCCCGTGGCCCCTTGGCTTTTCATTTCCTGGACTCGTGGCTTCATTTCCTTTAGGAGGGCATGGAACCAGCTCCATCCACGCCTCTGTGGCACTGAGACATTGCCCGATATCCTCTTATCAACTGAAGAGAAGACATTGATGTCTCTTTTTAATTTCATTAGTGGCCAGGCTCTGCTGTGTAGAGCACACATCTCTCGGTGGCTTCTACACTTCCACTGAAGTCCTGGCCGGCGCCCTCACACAGCCCCTACTCTGTAATTCCTGAGAAGAACTGCGAGCTAGAATGGGGATGCCCCCCCACCCCCATCTCCAGAGTTTTGTGACACAGTGATGAGCCCCGCCACCCCATCTCCAGGGTGTGTCCGAAAGTGATGGAAGGGTTGTGGCGGCCTGAGCTCTGTCCTCTGTCTGTGAGTTGGCCACAGCCCGCTTTGGACCCTCACAGATCAGAACCAGCCTGCCCTGGAGGGGGTGCCCTCAGCTTCAAAGTTTTCCTGCCTGAGCCACAGGACTTGTCTTTGCAGATATCTGGTTCCCTGGCAGCCTCACCCCGTTGCCCACAGAGTGGGGTGTCCCGCAGCCGGAGGTCAGGCTCAGGATGCACGTCCTGCCGCCTCCAGCCATCGGGAGCAGCCGGAACTGTGTCCGCGACTCTTTGGCACCAGCTGGCTGTCCTCAACTCAAGTCCCTCTGACCCTCGTCTGGGCAGCTGTCACCACCATCTTAGTTCCAGGCCTGGTCTCTTCTGACTGGCTGGCACTGTCGGAGCGTCAGTGCTATACCTTGTAGAGATGGCTCATGGAACTCTGTTTCCTTGCTGTATGCAGTTTATGGCAGAGGGTCTGACTTGGGACCAGCCAAGTGGAAGAGGGGTGGGGGTGCGGGGAGGGAGGGGCGGGGCCCTTCCAGGGTGCCGTATGCACGCCCACCACCTGGCCGGAGGCTTCATTGCTTTGACTTGACAGAGACTGCCCAGTGGGTCATTGGATTGGATCCCAGGCCCCCCTGAAGTTCTCTATCCCATCACTTGGGAGACTGAGGGTTTGGGGACCTGCGTGCCAGGAGCCAAGGACAAAGGTGGAATTTTGCTGCTTGCTGGAACTACCCCCGCCAGGATGTGCCCTTTTCCAATCCAGGTCCTGAGCTTGCCCCCAGCCACCTTCTCAGGCAGGCTGGTCTCCTGTGTGTGCGCCCAGCCGGGCTCAGCCGGGCTCCGTTCCAGTGGGCCTGCGTAGGAAAGCCTTCCTAGAGGCACCCTGCGCAGGGGCCTGGTCTGCAAGGCCCCGCGGCCACCTCTGCTAGTCTCAACAGGTACCGAGGGAAGGTGTTTCTTCCTGCCAGACTCCAATTACACTCATATGTTAGAACAGGCTCCTACCTACGTCTTCCTTCCTCACATCCTGGGAGAAGCCTCTTCTAGAATGTTCCATCAGAAGATGGCAGCCTCACTTTGCATATTGTGAGTGGCACTGGAGCCAGCTGGTCCTCTGCAGGGTGCCTCCCAACTCTTATACAGCTTTGTGATTGGTTCTGTGTGTCTGACACACTCAGGCAGAATCCCACTGAGACAGCCTGACTGCTGAGAGAGCCTGTGTTTCCTGAGCAAAAGGTGTGCTTGGAAAACTCCCCAGCCTAAGCAGGGTCACACCGGCGGTGTCCTGGAGCATTGTGTGTGATTCACCCTTAGTCCAAGGGGCTTGGCGCTGCCAGAGGCTTTGATTGTCTCCATTTTTGGTGCCATTTCTGAATAAACCGAGGCTCCTGCCCACGTAAGGATCAAAGAAGAGTAGTTTGTTTTTGTTGCTGAACTCAGGGGGCTTGAACTCAGGTCCTGGACACTGTCCTAGAGCTTTTTTGCTCAAGGCTGGTGCTCTGCCACTTGAGCCACAGCTCCACTTCTGGTTTTCTGGTGGTTCATTGGAGATAAGAGTCTCACAGACTTTCCTCCCTGGGTTGGCATTGAACTGCGATCTTCATATCTCAGCCTCCTGAGTTGTTAGGTTGACAGGCGTGAGCCACCAGCGCTCAGCTTGAAAGTTTTAAGTAAGCCTACCCAGTGTGTGGAAAGCGAGTCAGCCAGGGAGGCGATGATGGGGTCTGAGCTGGCGGGCCCTGCTTCTTCCCCGGGCTTTAGGCTCCGTGTCTGTCCTGGGCAGAGGACGGAGACACACACATCCGGACAAGCCTGTGCGGACCACCACAGCATCACAGCTCATGCCGGCCGAGAGCGGGAGCAGGCCTGGGTGAGGACCCGTGTCTCTCTTCATTCACGCTCTCGACATGCTCCCCTGCCAGAAGAGGAACTGTAGCCGTTGTCCAGAGGGGAGACTGCGGTGGAAGATGTCATGATGAAGCACTCAGCTACCAAGTAGGGAGCTCCCACCACAGAGCACAATGAGCAACGCCACTGATTTGCTTTGGTCCATTTTTGCTGTCATCCTTTCACTGAAGCTCCAGCTGCCCCATCTGCCATAAAAGAAACAGGAGGAAGAAAAGCCAGCACAGAAAGCTGAGAAGCTCTCGCCGTCCTCTGTTTATGTGAAACCCTAGCAACACGGAGGCCGTGGACAGTCGCACGGAATCCCCCTGAGATTCGTAGTCGGTGATGTAGGCCGGGGAAATCCACAGGCTGGGCTGGGTGTGTGCCGTGGGTTGTGTGCATTTGCTTCTAACTGTAGGAACTGTGCTTCCCTTTGCACCCTGAAATCTACCCTGAGGGCCGGGGTTCCCCTGTCCCTGCTCCTCACTGGCTTGTAGGGGACAGTGTAATTCACAGTTGGGCATTTTTGTCTCTCTAGTTACCACAGGAAGCTTAGGACATTTTTTTTTTTTTGCTTTAAATGAGTTCAATGCCAGGTGCTCCATCAACCTGATATTTAAGCTAATAGGCTCATGCTAATAGTGGGTGAAATAGTTTTGAACTGGCATCATTCCAAGGGCAGATAGTGGAGGCTCCACACGGGAGTCACGCCTCCTGAGGTCCAGTGTAGCTGCTGCCTCCTCTCTCTCCCTCCTCCCCAGGAGTTATGCCTCCTAAAAAGCTACCACCTGCTGGTTGGTGGGTCAGGGTCAGTCCTCTGGGACAGGCTGACCAGCCTCCTGAGGAAATACATCTTCCTGTTATGACTTGGCTGTCAAATGAGGCTCGTGTTGTAGATGTTCTGATAGTATATTTAGCTCTAATGGATTTTGCTTTTTTAACGTGAGGATTCATGTTCTGTTCATATTGTCTAAGAATATTTACTGAGGTAAGTATAGATTGCAGGGTAGGGAAAGATGTCTGATTAGGAACCATAATGGTTAGTTTGGGATTTATTTCCATGGGGTCAGGTGGGGGTTCTTTCCTTATATAGTGTGATTTAAAGAAAAATATTCCATAATTTAACTCTTTAAGCTGTGTTTTCCCAGCCATGTTCCTAGTTCCTTTAGAAACAAAACTAATTAAATCATTTCCAGATCTCTAGGATGTTCTAAGAGAATGAGCGGAGGCCACTGTATCAAAAAATTGAAGGCTGGGCACCAATGGCTCACGCCAGTGATCCTAGCTACTCAGGAGGCTGAGATCTAAGAATTTGATTTGGAAATAATGGTGTCAGTCATGTAGGATTCTTGCTTCCTTTAGGCGGGTTGTTTAGCAGGGCGCTTGTTCCTGGTCTCAGCTCCGCGGAGCCCTGCTGGCTCCAGGCACAAAGAGCCAGCGTTGGTATTGGGCATTTCAGATGGTGACACTTAAAAACTGCCCTTCAACAGCTCCTCATAACCCAGGCTCTCGCAAAGCTCTCTGGAATGCAGGAACGTTTCCCAGGCAGAGCTGGGCTGGGGAAGCCTCAGGTCGTGGGTGGGATCATGGCATTCATAGCTATTAAGGTGGACAGTAGCCCTTAGCAAGGCTGGCCAGAGAGCTGCTCAACTGGCCCAGGGGCTGCCGCCTTCTGCCCCTCGGGGAGAGGACCCTGTCCAGCAGCGAGGCCTTGACCTGGTCTGCTGTGGTTGGAAGAATTTAATCCTCCCTCATGGATAACACCTTAATACACTAAAAGAAGCTTACTTGCTTTTTAAACCTCTTTTTCATTTTGCTCTTGTCCATTTACAAATGGGGCGTTACTGTTCTCAGGCCTCAAGGCAGAGTTGGCCTGGGAAAAAGCTGGGTCCTGATGTCTGTCCCCTCCGGCATGCCCCGTCGGGACAGTGGCAGGGTTTTCATGGGGTGCAGCCAAGTGTTGAGGTGGGTTTGCATGGTTTATTTAGTGAGCTTTCTGCTGAGCACCAACGGTACCTGGCTTTATATTGTTCAGAGAGAGAAAGCAGGTGCTGGTGGCTCACACCTGTCATCCTAGCTACTCATTAGGCTGAGATCTGAGGGTCAGAGTTCAAAGCCAGCCTAGGTAGGGAAAGTCCATGGGATTCTTTCCTTCAGTTAACCAGCAAAAGTCTGGATGTAGAGCTGTGGCTTGTGGCTTGAGTGGTAGAGTGCTAACCTTGAGTGAAAAAGCTCAGGGACAGCATCCAGACCTTGAGTTCAAGCTTCTAGTCTGGCACAGAGGAAAAAAGAAAGTGACTTCCAAGGAAAGAGGGGAACCCCTCCACCCTGGGGACTGAAAGAATGGGAGCCATCCCGGGTTCCTCCTCACTCTACTGGTGTGTCTTGAGAGGTTGGCTGTCGTCATGAGCTTTGCAGTTATCCCTGAAGTTTTATTTATTTTTATTTATTTATTTATTTTTTTATTGTGAAAAAACTGTACAGAGGAGTTACAATTACATGGGCAAGATAATGAGTACATTTCTTATCAAGCATTGTAGCCTCCTCCTTTGTTTCCCCTTCCCATCCCTTCCAAGCCTCCACCCACCCCCCTACCCCCATCCCTGAAGTTTTAAAGTCTTTCCATTGGAGGTTTTTTTTTTTTTAGTTGGTCGTGGGGCTTGAACTCTGGGCCTGGGCGCTGTCCCTCAGCTCTTCCGCTCAAGGCAAGCGCTCTATCAACTTGAGCCACAGTGCCCCTTACAGTTTTGTGCTGGTTTATTGGAGATAAGAGACTCACGGACTTTCCCGCCTGAGCCGTCTTTGAACCACAATCCTTAGATCTCAGCCTCCTAAGTAGCTAGGATTACAGGCGTGAGCCATCTGTGCCTGGCTTATTTGAGTTATTTATTGACTTACTTATTTACTTCCTTTTAAGTGCTTGAGTGTTCTGTTTTCAAGGAATGAGTGGTGGGAAGCATTCTATCCTGGAAGTCAAAGCTGCTTATATGAGTAAAGGCACAAACCAAACCTCCCCTTCCCCCCGCGACCATCCCGGCACTGGGGCTTGAACTCAGGGTCTCAGTTGGCTTTTCTGTTCAAAGCTGGAGCTCTACCACTTGAACCCCACATCACTTCAAGCATTTTGCTGGTTAATTGGTAATAAGAATCTCAGATTTATCTGTCTGAGCTAGCTTCGAGCCTCAGTCCTCAGATCTCAGCCTCACAAGTACCTAAGATTACAGGCATGAACTTTCAGCACCTTGCCCAAGCCATCTGTTTTCTTAGTCAAATTGCAGTTTGATGATTCCAAAGACGTGACTGTCAGCATCTGCTTCTTGTGGCTTGACTCTTCAGCAGTAAGAGGCCTGGGCTGGAGGTCGAGGGATGGGTCACTGGTCTCTGGGTGACGTCATAGGTACATGGAGCTCATCCAGCCTTAAAAATCAGTGTCTTGGATGGAATTGTTTGTAGATCGTTTACTTTTAACATGAGTAGGCGACCATTTCTTATCCAAACACTTTTTGTTCCAATGCTTTTGTGAACTGGGGAGATGATGGATATACATAACCAAGCCCTGCCAACCCTCAGTCTTCAGAGAGAGCTGCTACAGCATGGGCAAATACAAGCTGTGCAACTCTCTGCTAGGATGGGAGAGAGGCAAGCTTGCCAGTGCACCCCGGCTCCACTCCTGGACACCGGAAGCTGCCCTTGCCAGGGCTCTGTGCTGGTGGGGTGCATTGGAGTTGGAGAGGTGGTGGAGGGGGCAGAGCTGGACGTGGGCTTGTGGGCTGTGTGTGGGTGGGTATGGGAAGCCAGCGATGAGAAAGGAAAAGGCAGAGGGCCTAGCTCTGAACTTTGCGTAATAGCTGGTCTTGGCAAAGTAATTATTTTGATAATCTTTCCTCTCAGTATTTTCGATTCTGATAAATCCACCAGAGAATTAAAAGAATTTTCTCTTCTTCCTTAAATGAGTTCCCAGCAGCGGGGTCAGCCTATGCCCTGGGGAAAGTGGAAGTCCTTGTATCACTGCAGACTCCCGGTGGCTCAGCTTTGGGCAAACCCTTTGGTTGCCTACCCATGCAGCTTCTCCATCCTGCTGTCCAGGTGTGCCTGGCCACACACCTGGCACCCAGCCCTGGCTTGTTGGAATCCTGCCTCAGGAAGCTGGGATCTTTTTAGAAGATCTACTTCTACCGGGTTCTGTGGCAGAAACTACCCATTTCTCTGGGCTCCCAACAAAGCAATTTTTTTAAAGGATCCTTCGGAAGGCTTCCAGACCTGTCAGAACTATAGCTTAGTTTATTTTTGATGTAATTGCTTGTCTCTGTCTTTAGATGTTTATTTTGTAAAATATGTTCATTTTATAATTGAACTCATTATGTAATTCTGTTATTGTTATGGCTATATAATTTTGTGATCATTTAACATTTCATACGTTCCTTAAGTTACTTCCACATTTATGAAAAGCAGTGCTATATTAAAATTATTTAGTCAAAACAATTTTTTTAGCTTCTGGGTGAATTTTTTACTTGTAACACCTGTGACTTATTTTCTTAAGGCTTATTTTGAGTGGAAAAATAATAAATCAGAATTTTAAAGGAAAAACTTGGTGTGAAGAGCAGTCACAGATAGATTGCATCAGGACAGAGTTTAGCTTCCGAGAAATTCTTCAGGAAGCGAGGCCTCTAGTTTTTGGGTTACCCTATGATAGAAAAGAGAGCTCTCTGAGGATTTGTCTAAGTTTGAAACCCTGCAGGTCTTGTCTGTGCGAGCAGAGGTCTAGGCTGCTTCCGTTACGGAAGGCAGATGCTTCCTGTGGTGTCTCACCTGTGGCTGTGCCTTCTCCAGGTGGTGATGTGCCACGTGGTGGGTGAGGCCCTCCAGTTCCTGGTCACCGCAGAGCCCACCTCGGCCGCCAGCCCAGGGCAGCAGCTGTACCACGTGCGCCTGTCTCCCCTCCACTTACAGGTAAGGCTGGGTAGAGTGGCCAGGCCTGGCAAACCTGTCACCCTGTGCTTTCTCTGGTGAGTGAGGGGCCATGAATGGAGTGCTTTTACTAACTAATTACCAGTCAAGAGACAGCAGAGCATAATGGGCTGGGTATTGCTTCCTTAATCTTGGGAAAAGTAAACTTAAAAAAGAATAACAACAATTTAAGCGAGGCATGATGATCATACGCCTGTAATCTCAGCCACTCAGGAGGTGAAAGCAGGAAGATCACAGGTTTAAAACTAGCCTGGCACCCGTGGCTCATAACTATAATCCTCGCTACTCAGGATATTGAGATCTGAGGGTTGTGATTCAAAGCCAGCCCAAGAAGAAAAGACTCTGAGCCTCTCGTCTCCAGTTAACCAAAAAGCCTAGGTGAAATTGTGACTGGTAGAGTTACAGCCTTGAATGAAAAAGCTACTGGACAATGCCCTGGACAGGCCTTAAATTCAAGCCCAGTATAGGTACAAAGTAAATTTAAAGAAAAACCTACAAATAGTGCATTGATAGAGTGTGTAGCATGAGTAAGTCCTAGGTTTAATCTCCAGTTCCACACTCACAAAGAAGAAAAAGAGCTCAGTACCAATGGCTCACACCGTCATCCTAGCTACTCAGGAGGCTGAGATTGGAGGATCTCCCTTCAGAACCAGCCTGGGTAGGAAAGTCTGTGCGGTTCTTATCTTCAATAAACTAATAATAAGTGGAGCTGTGGCTCAAGTGCTAGAGCACTAATGTTAAGCCAAAAGGCCCAGAGGCAGCACCCAGACCCTGAGTTCAAACCCCAGGACTGGCACAAAAGAGAAAAAAAAGAAAAAAGGCTCCTTAACTCCTTATTCTTGTAAGTTAAAAAATTCACTGTGCTAAAATCGCAGAAACTAGGGTCCTGTCTGGTTTCTGTAATGATGCTAGCAGAGTACACACAAGAAGGACATTATCTGCACTGGATCCAAGATGGGGTAGGGTAGGTCTCTTTTTTAATGTCCAGTGTCTTTTGTCTTTAAGATTTGGTGCAATATACTGATAGATAATAAGAAATTCCTGGTGAAAAGTTGAAAACAAAATGCTATCTTTTCTTTGAAATACTTTAAAAAATCATTATCTTTCTGACAATAGATTCACAATATATATAATATATAATACATACATATAGTTTTTTTTTTTTTGTCAGTTATGGGGCTCGAACTCTGGGCCTAAGCACTGTCCCTCAGCTCTTCAGCTCAAGGCGAGTGCTCTATCACTTGAGCTACAATGCTACTTCTGGTTTTCTGAGTGTTTATTGGAGATAAGAGTTTCACAGACCTTCCTGCCCGGGCTGGCTGTGAACCGCAATCCTCAGATCTCAGCCTCTTCAGTAGCTAGGATTACAGGCGTGAGCTACCGGCGCCCAGCATATATATAGGTTTATAGAGAAACGCATATGTCTATAATAGACCTAGAGAAACTTCTAGATGCTCATGTCATGACTGTGCTTCTCTTACATTAAGCAGAACATTCTCCAAATGCTTCCATTTAGCCAGTGTTTAGAAACTGCACATTTCCGGGCTTGTTGTAGCAGTCACCACTGACTGGACCTCGTATTTCATCTCCTCTGTCCTTAAACCTGACTTCTAATTTTGAAGATGAGTCAAAATGTACAGAATTGGTGCTGGGAAGGTGGCTCAGTGGTAGAGTGCTTGCCTCGAGTGCATGAGGCCCTGGGTTCGATTCCTCAGTACCACATAAGCAGAAAAAGCCGGAAGTGGCGCTGTGGCTCATGTGGTAGAGCACTAGCCTTGAGCTGAAGAGCTGAGGGACAGCGCCCAAGCCCAGAGAGGCCCCATGACCAACAAAAAATAAAAAAATAAAAAGTACAGAATTCCCAGCTACAGGCTTTGCTTTCAGAGGCAAACTTATAAACACCCTGCTCCCACAGACTCTTAAGTGGCTTTTGTGTGGACCCTACCCCCAGTCTCACCCCAGCTGAGAGCTCGTACCACACACCTGCCCATGTACACACCCACAGCTTTTGGGCAGCGATGCCTCGGACATTCTTACCCAGCATTTGATGTGTGTTTTGAACTGAGAGAGCTCTTGGGTCACGTGCACGCTGATAGAGTGCCAACCCGAGGCTGCTCCTTGTGCCACAGCTTCGGTGCCCCCTCAGCAGCGTGGGCAGAAGGGGTACAGGTGTGTTGGCACAGTCTGGAAGCGACGTGCGGGTTTCCCCCGAGAGCAGGCAGCTGCTCAAGGTGGGAGAGTTTTGCGTGTCACGGCGGTGGGGGCAGGCATCTGCTTCCACGGCTGTTCAGCTCAGTGGTGCGTGGAGGTGCTGCCGTCAGAACCAGTGCCCACCCACCTGCCCAGTCGTGTGGCACACACAGTCTGATTACTTGTGGCAGTGAAATTAAAGTACACTTTTTCTGGAACTGTCTGTAGTCGCAGGGCGAAGGAGGCTTTGTTCCTTCGCTGCTTCTGGCGTGGGCTCGGTCCTGCATTGTCACACAACTGAAGCCATACTCCTCTCCCCTCCCCTCTCCTCCCCTCGCCTCCTTTCCCCTTCTGCCCGGGGATGGGGCTGAGGTGGAGATGTGGCAGCCGCAGCATTTATTGGAGTGTCTGGCTGAGATGGGGTACACCACCTGTTTGCAGTTGCTGCTGAAGCTAATTAGCCCAGACAGCACAGGTGGCTGTCCCAGCGCCGGCATCACAGCCATGTCTGCCGCCGCAGCGGAGCTCGCTTCCTTGCTCGTTGGTGGCATTGGTGGTCAGTTCCCCGGGGGTTTCAGGACTGAGGCCTGAGTTCCTGTACCTCACACAGTGTACAAATTGCTTCCAGGTCTCCATGCTCTTTTGCCCATGGTGCCCTCCTCCTCCTCTTCCTCCTCCTCCTCCTCCTCCTTTTCCTCCTACTCCTTCTTTCCCCCTCCCCCTCCTCCCCTCTACCCCCCTCCCCTCTCCGCTGCCATGGAGCGAATCTTCCAGCCAGGCCCTGGGCTCTCTCTGCCGCCATCTTCTTCCATGATTCCTTTGGGTCACCTGAAGAGCCCAGGGAGCCCTGCCCACCTCTGGGTCCCGGCTAGTCCTCTGCAGGGTCTGGCCCTGGGTGCACAGGCTCCAAGGATGGGAGTATGGCATCTTTGGGGTTCTTCCTCCCACAGATGCATTGGCTCAGATGGGCACAAGTAGAGCCAGGGCTCCGGGGTCCCAGGAGAGGAGGGCTCCGCTGCATCCAGGCATAGTTCCCAGGGGTTGTGCACGCACAGGTTCTGAGGAGGTCTGTGTCCAGGACTAGGGATCAGCAGGTTGCTTCCTCTTCCTCCTCTCTCAGTGCCCTCCCAGGTCCTTCCTCTTCCTCCTGTCTCGATGACATGCCCAGAAAGAGAAATGTGGAGCACAGTGAAATGACTCATTTCAAAAATTAGCCACCAGAGTTGAGGATCCTTCCCGAGAGAACAGCTGGTCAGAGGAAGAGGCCGGAGAGGAGTTGGGGTCCTCTTTCCCATTTGGAAAGCACCCAGGAGGCCGAGAGGGGGGTGAGCGCTTGTCTGAGAATAAGAGGCGCGCCCAGCAGGCCTCTGCAGGGAAGAGCAATAACCTTTGTTTGTTTTCCTAGCTGGAGTTCCATGTGAAAGAGAAGAGAGAAGACATCCAGATCAGGTGGTCCTTCATCAGCGTGCCAGAAACCGCCGTTAGGATCCAGCCCCGGGGTCTGAGAGAGGTCAGTCCATGTCTGCGACGCTCCCGCTGTGTGAGCCCCTTGCACGCTAGGACAGTCTCTAGGGATCCAAGGCTAGATTGTCGCAGGCTAGAACTGTCCTGGGCAGCCTTTGCGTGCCTCTGAGGCTGAGCCCCACCTCGGGGAACTCATGGCAGTGGCTCCCCGGACCTGGCCAGTTGCCCTACTTGAGAGCCTCTTGTAGCCACGGATGCACCAAAGGCTGCTGTGTTTTTCTTGTCACTTCTGCAGGATACATCCAAAGCCAAGGGCAATGTCTCTAGGTCTTAAGGTTTGAGGGCGAACACTTGGGAGCAGGAACCGGGTATGTTGGGGGCACTGGGGTGACACTTTTTTCCCCTTTCTGGGAAAAGCAGAAAAGCAGTTATTCTAAAGACTTGGGTTATCAGGAAGTTGCTTTTGGGGGGCTTTCATGGAATGTTGTTGTAATTTGACTCTTTTAGCCTCTTTCAGGTACTGAGTTCAGCTGAAATGTATGAATTTAACCATTTAATTTCTTTCTTTGGTGGCCCTGGGGACAGAATCTAGCTACGGCTTCTGTATCTAAACAAATGTTCTACCACTAAGCCTCATCCCAGCACTATCAGAAAATATTTTACCCTTTATGTCATAATATTGTTGTGTTTTTGTTGTTGTTTTGTTGTTTGTTTTGGGTGCTGGTCCTGGGGCTTAAACTCAGAGCCTGGGCACTGTCCCTGAGCTTCAGTGCTCAAGGCTAGCACTCTACCACTTTGAGCCACAGCACCATTCCTAGCTTTTTGGTAGTTAACTGGAGATAAGAATCTCATGGACTTTCCTGTCCAGGCCGGCTTCAAACAGTGCCCAGCTTTGTTTTGTCTTTGTTTTGTCAGTGTGGGGCCTGAACCCTGGGCCTGGGCACTATCCCTCAGCTCTTCAACTCAAGGCGAGTGCTCTACCACTTGAGCCATAGTGTCACTTCTGGCTTTTTCTGAGGAATCAAACCCAGGGCCTCCTGCATGCAAGGCAAACACTCTACCACCTTCCCAGCCCCCTTGTTTTGTCTTTTTAAAATGAATTTATTAATATGAAAGTATAGGTAGATGGGGCTGGGAAGGTGGCTCAGTGGTAGAGTGCTTACCTTGCATGCATGAGGCCCTGCGTTCGATTCCTCAGCACCACATAAGCAGAAAAAGCCGGAGGTGGGGCTGAGGCTGAGTGCTGGTCTACAGCTGAAGAGCTGGGGGACAGTGCCCAGGCCCAGAGTTCAGGCCCCACACTGACAGAAAAAAAAAAAAAGAAAGAAAGAAAGTATAGGTGGAGCATTCCTCACCTGATAATCTTCTATTTAATTTTTATTTTTTAAATTATCTTTAGTTGGACAAAGGGGTTGCCATTTAACAAAGGAGGTCTTGAATACAATGCATCTTGGTCATTGTCACCCCTTCTTCCCTTGCTTTTCTTAATTGTGCAGTCTACACATTGAGTTATTGCCTGTACTTACCCCTTCTCTTCTTCATCTGGCTAACCCTCTCCCCTTGACTCCACCTTACCCCTTGCAAGTACCCACTTCCTGGCATTTATTTTGTTGAGCTTTGACTTTTTCCTTCTTAATAATTACACTATTTAAAATCTCCCTAGAATCTGATGTATTTCAGTTAATACATTTGTAAATCCTTACTTACAGGTTTGTAGATAATTTTAGCTTCGACAAAAGAGGGAAGACATGTATTCTCTGGACCTGACTTACTTCATTTAATATAATTTTTTCCAAGTCTTTCCATTTCTTTACAAATAGTACAATATCATTTTTTCTAGCGGATGAGTAAAATTTTATTGTGTATATATATCACATTGTCTTGATCCATTCATCCATTGAGTGACATCTGGTCTGATTCCATATTTTGGCTATGGTGAATAGTACTGCAATGAGCATGGTTGTGCTGGTGGCTTTAGTTTAGCCTTGTTTGTGTTCTGTTAAATGCCCAGGAGTGGGATTGCTGGGTCATAGTAGTACTTCTTGGTTTAGTTTTTAGAGAAACCTCCATACTACTTTCCAGAGTAGTTGAACACGTTTACATTTCTACCAACAGTGTATTAGGGTTCCCTTTTGACCACATCATTTCCAGCGTCTATTATCATTTGTTTGCTTGATAATGGCCATTCCAACTGGCTAGGGTAGGGTAGAATCTCAGTGTTGCTTTGATTTACATTTCTTTTATGGCCAGAGATGTTGAGCATTTCTTCGTGTGTCTATTGGCCATTTTTACTTCTTCTGAGAAGTTTCCCTTTAGCTCATTAGCCCATTTATTAATTGGATTGTTGTTTCTTTGAGGGTTTAATTTTTTAAGCCTCTGTCTATTCTGGATATAGGCCTCCCTTTTTCTTGTGGTGTAGATTCTAGAGCTTGAACTCAGGCCTCATGCTGTCCCTTGGCTTTTTCGCTCAAGGCTGGCACTCTTACCACTTGAGCCACACCTTTACCTCCAGCTTTTTGCTGGATAATTGGATAAGCATCTCTCAGATTTGTCTTCCTAGACTAGCTCCAAACCTCAATCCTTAGATCTCAGTCTCCTGAGTAGCTAGGGTTACAGGCGTGAGCAGTTGGCACCAGATTTGTTTTATGTTTGGCCAACACGCTTGAGTGTATTCCTTTGCACGTGCACACATGAGTGTTGTCATATGGGCCTGGCCGTGCATTTACACAAAGCATGTAGAATACCCATTCAAGTTCATTTTTATTTTTCTTCTTCCCTCTGGTGTTGGTGTCTCCATCCTTCACACTGCCACTTGTGTGTCCTGCCACAGGCCACACACCTGAGCTACCTGAGCCGCTGGGGGCAGCCCTGCCCATCCGAAAATCACTCAGATCATTTCTTCTTCTGTGTAGTATGTTCCTGTTTCATATTGGTTCATTAGCCCCTGTTATATCCAGTGATGCGTTTCTTCCCTCTCTTTGTTGCTGTGTATGTGTGTGTGTGTGCGTGTGTGTGTGTGTGTGTGTGTGTGTGTGTGTGTGTATAATCAAAGAAGCGATGGCTGATGAGCTAAGGTCTGAGGTTGACTTTTTGGGGGTGCTGAAAATGTCAACATCTTACGAGCATAGGTCTCCAGCATTGCAAGTATGTGGCATGCCAACAGAATGTCACGTTAAAAGGCTGACATTAATGCCCTGTGAACTTCACCAGCCTTAAGAGGTAGATTGTCAGATCCTTTCGGTGTGAAAGGATTTGACTCCTGGCTCTTTTGCTTATGTGCTGTGCGACCCTGCACATGTTAAGTGACTTCTCTGTGCCCCTGATTCTGTGCTCCTTATCTGAAAGATGGCAGCAGTGGTATTCAAGGCTTAATTCATGAAAACAGGTAAATCCATACAACCAGGCTTGGCGCATGGCAAGAGCCATATGCCAGCTGTTTGGATTGTTGGTGGTTTAGAGGTCCTGGCAGAGAACCAATTTTAATGAATGGACTGACTTTGTTGTAAGAAGTCTGGCAGAGAAGGGGATTGGCCAGCCAATTCAAGGGCAGCACAGATTGGCTGCACACTGACTTCTGAAAGCCCAAGAAACAGGATTAGGGTGACAGACCACAGGACTCTGAAGCCAGGCTGAGCTTCATACTGACTTCAAGGTCATCGTGAGCTACAGGACTCTTTTTTTTTTTTTTTGGTCGGTCGTGGGGCTTGAACTCTGGGCCTGGGTGCTGTCCCTCAGCTCAAGGCGAGCATTCTACCACTTGAACTACAGCGCCACTTCCGGTTTTCTGGTGGTTTATTGGAGATAGGAGTCTCACGGTCTTTCCTGCCCGGGCTGGCTTTGAACCGCGATCCTCAGATCTCAGCCTCCTGAGTAGCTAGGATTACAGGCGTGAGCCACCAGCGCCCGGCAGGACTCTATTTTATTTAAACAAGTCCCAGGGACAGAGTTCAGCGGTAGACACTTGCTTAGCCCACACAAAGCCTTGATCCTCCACATTGCAAAATACATAATAGATCCCGTATGCGTGATAAAGATTGTATTGAGATGTGACCATGTGCCCATCACTGAGAAGCAAGCACCCTGCTCAAGCAGTGCCTGGGTTGGCTCCCCAGGTGGTGCCCTTTGACCCCTTCACAGCCCCCTGCAGGGGCACCAGGACCCTGATGGCTTCCGGTAGGAGTTATAACAGATCCACAGACCCAGCAGCTGACAGCAGCAAGTGCTTATCACCTGGGGCTCCTGGGGTCCAGAGCCAGCATGGCTTGATGAGGTCTGAGCAATGGGTCTCAGCCTGGCTGCACTCTAGAACTTGGGGCCTGTGTTCATGCGTTCGTTGGCCAAATGCAGCTGTGTCTGTGGCTGACAGAGTGAGGGGTCGGGTTTCTCTCTGGCTGGCTGTTGGAGCTGTGCTCTGCACTCTCCCAGGCCAGTGGAGAGCCGCAGCCCAGGACACGAGCCAACTGCTCCCGCTCTATGTAATAACATCAGGTCTATGTAATAACGAGAGGCGCCCCGGCAACTTGGGCATGGACGGATCTGACTCTCCCTCCCGGGCCCAGGCGGGTGAGGCAGATGCCATGTCTGAAGTCCACCCCCCTCTCTCTCACCTCCTAGGCCCAGGCGGGTGAGGCAGATGCCATATCTGAAGTGCTCAAGGACATCTTGAAGCAGCTGGTCGGCTCCGCCTCTCCATCAGTGGTTCTGAGCACCAGGCCCACGGATGTACAGGAAGCGCAGGTAAGTCCGGCTGCTTATGGGTCCAGGAGCTTGCTTCTGAGCACTGTGGGGCTATAGCCATAACTCTTGGGGACTGCATGTCCAGAGCTTCCACCTCCGTGGTGAAGCCAGGACTGCACAAAAGGTGCCTGGGAACCATCATACAAGGCCTTAGGGTAGGAACCGAGAGTCAGGGTGCAGGTGCCCAGAGCTCCACGGGCTGGGAGTGGGCAGGGCCCCCAGCATTGTCTCCTGAGACCCGTCATGGTCTCCTGCTTTGCTTGGTTCATGGGACAAATGCCAGTTGGTCTAAGAGTTTAGGCTACATGCTGGGTACCAAGGTCTGGAAACGTGGGGACACGTTGACACCCCCACTTCACCTCCGGGAGGGGACAGCAGGGGCAGCCCAGTCCCTGACAGGGAGGGGCTGTCGACCTTCATGGCGGGGTAGGGAGGGCAGCAGCTTCACTTTCCTAAGGAGCAGGGCCGGCCCTGTATCCCAGGAGGTAGGGTGGCGTCCTGCCCTCTGTCCCTCCCAGTAATCCCGTCCCAGGGGATCCTTGCAGAGCCTAGGGCCCTGACCGGCCGTTAAGGTTGAAATGTGAGAAAGTCCATAACATAGAGAATAGCTTTAGAATCTGTGAAACACAAGGTTCAAGGTGGGTGCCTGTCATCCTGTTTGAGATACTGAGATTGGGAGGATTGTGGGGTGAGGCCTGCCTGCAGGGTTATCTACAAGGCCCCTAGCTGGGCGTGTTACACCTATCGTCCGAGCCAGGTGGGAGTTTAAGCTTGGGAGGATTGTGGCTCCAGGTCAGACAGGGCAGGAACGTCCAACGTCCATCAGAGTGGAAACAGCGAGGCAGAGTAGCACACACCCCAGCTATGGAGAGACACTTCAAATAACCTGTAGATCATGCTGCACCCCTGGGCAGGAAGTGAGACTCATCTCAAAGATGGCCAGTGCAAAATAAGAGGAGCTGGAGGCATGGCTCATCAGGAAAACTCCTGCCTCACCAGTGTGAGCCCTGAGTGCAAACCTCAGATCATTGTAAATCAATAACTGAAAACTCCCATGGGTTTGGGAATGCTTTAAAAGGAATGTGTAGACTATTATTACAAGAATAGCATGTGCTTTGGTCAGGGTTCTCCAGGGAAACCGAATGGCGGGAAGTAGAGAGAGGAGAGAGTGGATGTTTATGTTACCGGAAGGCTCTGAGACTCAGCCATGCGGATGGGCCTTTCTCTATTCAGACCCTCAGCTGATTGGATGAGGCCCGTGCCACGAAGGGCAGTCTGCTTGACTCAGCCTCACAGTTTACATCCAACTTGTCCTCCCGTTCACCCCCCGCCATGGAGTTCAAGCAAATATCTGAGCAGGCCTGGCCCCGTGAAGTGGACACCTGAACTTAGCCATCACACTTACACATTTGAGAGAATCCCACCCAATCCCGCCTCAAGCTGTGGACTGTTGTGTGTACACACGAGCGCGCGCGCACACATACACACACATACACACACACCTGGATTTGAAGGACTTTTGCAGTCACTTCCTGACCTTCCCGCAGCCTCAACTCACAGCGGAGAAGGGCCTGGTTCAGAACAGCGTGTGCCAGATGGTGCCTACAGAACAGGATGTCCCTGGCGGCATTAAAGCCTGTCCCTCTCCAGCGTTCTGGCCAATCAGCACCCAGGAATGCTGCGTGCAGGCCATGGTAAAGCCCAGTGCCCCTGTAAGCTCGAGTTCAAGGAGCCCATCTGAGGAATATAGGCATCAGCCTGTGCCCAGTGGGGTTGGCTGGCTCAGCACAGGTGTGCAGGATGCCTCAGATCTGAGCTGTGTGCTGTTGGAAACTCCTTTATGCCCCTTTGAGGACAGAAGACGAGAGCGGTGCCTGCCCCAGGCACTGTCCCTGTCCTTTGTGCAGTGCAGTGCAGAGATTCTCAGGGGAACCTCAGGCGGAGTCGAGCTGTCTGAAGTAGTCCCAGGCTGGTGACCATGGCCATCCATGCATGACAGTGCCCACAGGGTGAGGTGGACAGGGGACTCATGGCCTGCAGAGGTCCTTGCTGTCCAAGCACCAGCCCCGGATCAGCACATGGAACTAACAGCTGGACCTGAGGTCGCCTCTCGGGCTGGTTATGCAGCCACTTGTGTGTGCTTTGGGAAGGAAAAGGCTCCCATGCTGGGGAGAGGTTGCAGCTCTGGGGCCCCGACCTCTGTGAGTCAGGTGCACTGATGCAGAGTGCACCCGGTGCTCAGGTTCCCCGGGCTTGAGTTTCTGCAGACCCCTCCCCTGCCAAAGCCGTGGCCACTTCCTGGGCGCCCCCAGCGGCACTGCTCTTCATTCTTCTTACCTGCAGAACCTCCGACGCGCTTCATCCACTGCTCAGGAATCCTGTCCACCCAAACCTCCAAGGGCTCATGAACTAAAACTCCAGGTGAAGAACCTCCGGGCCTCGCTGCTCAGCCATCTTGGTGCTTCAGGTGGGTGGCCTGTCCGGAAGGAACTGCTCTGGACCTGAGCCTGCCGGGTCCCAGGGGACCTGGGGGTCTCCTGTGCCAGCCTTGTTGGGCCTGCAGTGCCATCCTATCTGTTGAGGGGCACCTGCGAGGCATGGTATGGATACAGCCGGGTGCCCGGCACAGGTGAGGCGGGCCCTGAGTGTTCCATACACAGAAGGGTAATTGTGGCCGATGACAACTACACAGGTGTCTCTGAGTACCTAGGAGAGGACTCTGAAAGCAACAGGCACGAAGGAGCCATAGCTGTCTGAGGTGACCCTTGTGCTGGTTACCTTGCAGCCAGGACCGGTCGGGCCTGAGTCAGTCCAGCCCTACTGCCGTCAAGTTCAAGGGCTTTGATCTTGTTTTGGTGTGTGTGTGTCTGTGTGTCTCTGCTGGTACTAGGCTTGATCTCAGAATCTAATAGTCTTGCTTGACCTCTTTTTTTTTTTTTTGCTGGCACTCTACCACTTGAGCCACACCTCCACTTCTGGCTTTATAACTGTGAGATTAAAAAGAGTCTCACGGACTTTTCTCCCCTGACTGGCTTCAAAACACAATTCTCAAATCTCAGTTTCTGAGTAGCTAGGATGACAGGTGTGAGCACTACCAGCACCTGGCTTCAGATGCTTAAGTTGAGGGTTTGTAAATGGCAAGTTAAAGAAAGAATGGAATCTGAGCAGTGGGTAAGTCAAGGGCATTTAGTTTAGTTTTGCTTATGTATACAAGCACTGTTAAAGCAGCTCGGGAATAAGCCAGCATGACATTCCTTTCTTTGGTTGTAGGCAGCTCCTCTAATCTAGTGTGCACCGCCCAGCTGAATGACCCTGCTCAGAGGTTCACCAGCATCCTAGCAAAAAACACTACTGACCTCATGTGCGAGGAAGAATTCACCTTGTGAGTACCACCCACATGGTCCCGGACTTGGGGCTACAGCAAGGTCTGCTCAAAGCCGACAGACCCTGAGCTGCAGTGTAGCACTTTTATACCAAAACACTCTACAGCAACGAAAGAACAAACTCCGGGCACTGGTGGCCCGTAATCCTAGCTACTCAGGAGACTGTGATCTGAGGATCACAGTTCAAAGTCATCTCAGGCAGGAAAGTCTGTGAGACTCTAATCTCCACTGAACCACCAGAAAACCAGAAGTGATGCTGTGGATCAAGTGGTAGAGCGCTCGCTTTGAGCTGAAGAGCTGAGGGACAGTGCCCAGGCCCAGAGTTCAAGCCCCATGACCAACCAAAAATAAAAAGAGCAAACTTTTGAAGCATGTTAAAGGTAGCTCTGAGTCAAACCTGGGTGTCACTTTTTCCTCTGCTCATGACAAGAGTATCCAGGGCTTCCCCTCTGCCCGCAGAAGCTACCCAGGGATCCCCACTGCCCGTGGAAGCCACCCAGGGGCCCCCAGTGCCTATGGAAGCCACCCAAAGGTCCCTTCTGCCCGTGGAAGCCACGCAGGGCAGAGCAGAGTGAACATCCAGCTGGTCAGTCAGGAAAAGGAAGGGTGCAGAGCATTAAAGAAGAATAAGGTAAGGATTATAAATAAAATGTTACCAAATAGAATCAAGCAGTACACGAGAGTAAATCCAGCTGAGGTCCTTCCCCCATGGAAAGATGGTTCAGTGTAAGGAAATCTATTAATGACTCCCATGATATCAATAGATCAAAGAAGATAAGTTTATTAGCTTTATGTAAGCCCAAAAGGCAGTCAGTGACAGTTAGTTCCCATTCCTAATATTTAAAAAAAAACTTAATTAGAGCTGGCTCATGCCTGTAATCTTAGCTACTCAGGAGGCTGAGATCTGAGGATCATGGTTCAAAGCCAGACTGGGCAGGAAAGTCCCTGAGACTCTTATCTCCTGTGACTCAAGTGATACAGTAACAGTCAAGCAGAAAAACTCAGGGACAGCACCCAAGCCCTGAGTTCAAGCCCCAGGACTGGCACAAAAGTTTAAAAAATTAAAATAAAAAGTTTATAGATACTTCTTTAATAAGATTTTTTTAAACCATCGTGAAGGACTAGGGGTGTGGCTGAAGTGGTAATGCGCTTGTCTAAAACTACTGTGAATGGTGAATGCCAGTAACACCAACTAAAGCCCCCCCCCCCAAAAAAAAAAATTCTTTGTGCTGCTCTAAGAACTGAAAGAGCAATCAGAAAAGAAGTTACAAAAGAGTATATACTGGTGGGTACAAGGCCCTAAATTCAATACCTGGTATAGGAGAAAAAGAGAGTGGAGAGAAAGAGAGAAAAAGAAGAAACACTAGAAAGACTAGAAAGGCCAGGTGTTGGTAGCTTATACCTGTAATCCTAGCTACTCAGGAGACTTAAGATCTGAGGATTGGAGTTCAAAGTCAACCAAGTCAAGAAATTCTGAGAGACTCTTAACTCCAGTTAACCACAAAAACACCAAAAATGGAGCTTTGGCTAAAGTGGTACAGCACCTCATCCTTCAGCAAAAAAAAAGCTAAGGGACAGCATCCAAGCCCTGACAGAGCTCAAGCCCCAATAATGGCACAGGGGAAAAAACTAGAAAGGAAGGGACAAAATAAATGATTTCTTGGAGTAGCTGTTACTGAATATCAAAGACATCAACCAAAACTACTAGAGGTAATAATGAATGTAGTGTAGACAAATAATAGGAAAGAAAAAGGAATAAGAATTCCATAATGTGCCAGATGCCCATGGCTCACGCCTGTAATCCTAGCTACCAAGGAGGCTCAGATCTGAGGATCATGGTTCAAAGCCAGCCCAGGTAGGAAACTCTGTGAGACTCTTATCTCCAATAAACCATAGAAAACCAGAAGTGGCACTGTAGCTCAAGTGGTAGAGCTCTCGCCTTGAGCTGAAGAGCACACGGACAGCGCCCAAGCCCAGAGTTCAAGCCCCACGACTGACAAAAAAAAATAATAATTCCATAATGTGCCCACTATAACGGTTTTTCATGTTTAAACAATTATAAAGTAGAAGAAAATGTCCTGTGTATGTGGATGTTCACACACAAAGTATTTTATGAGTTGCTATGAAAACATGAACAGTTCCTTAGAAAATTAAAGTTTCCAAACTGGAAATACAAAGGCAAGAACCTTAGATGGCCAGAAACTTCTAAAGGAGAAAGGTTGGTCATTTTACAGTCTGGAATTGGAGAAGAGAGTAGAGCTGGGCATGGTGATGTGTGCCTGTAATCCCAGTACTCAAGAGCCTAATACAGGAGAAACATCTCAACTACATAGCGTGTTCCAGGTCAGACTTGGTTACATAGTGAGCGACTATCTTGACGGTAAAGAGGAGACAGTGTCCAGTGGAGGCATAAATTGGAATAAATAGACACTTCCTAAAGGTATAAAGTTTTTTTATTTGCCCTTTGACTGGCTATTCAGTTTTTCTGAGATGATCCCATAATGGCAGAAATACACAAGTAGGATGTTTATCTCAGCTTCTCCGTAAGTATGAAAGAGTAGAAACAGTCCAGTAAGAGTTGATTATTAGTGACTTGGCCAATCAGAATTCACAAGGCCAACGAGCAGAGAATGAAATGGCTGTTCACAGGGTATTGCTCTGTAGTTGGCGATCACCACAGAAAGAGGCTTTGATGCCTCAAGGAAATCCACTAAAACCATCAGAAATAATCATGGATTTGTGATTAAAAAAAAAAAATGACATCTTAACTGAAAAGAAGGGCACTGAGGAGGGGGGACGTGGCGGGAGCTGGGTGTCCGGTGCCGCCTTCAGTAAACTCTGCAGTCCTGCTGTCGATCTAACCGTTACCCTCAAGTGCTCTTGAATGTAATAAGTATTAAATCCAGCTCCTGCTTGCCACGGGTCCCACATGCTCTACCTGTCCTGTGGCTGCCGTGTGTGACAGCACTTGTCTGTCCCCATCTTCAGCTAGAAGCAGCCCCATTGTTCACCCTCAGAAGGTGGGGCCCAGGAGTCTAACATGGACCATTCAGGATGGTCAGATTACAGACATTACCTACAGTTTTGAGTTCCTTTGTATTAAAGGAGAACTACATACACACACACACACACACACACACACACACACACACACACACACACACACACACACACACTCATTTTGTCTGTAATCCTAGCTACTTAGGCTGAGAGTGGGAGGAGCACCATTTGAGGTCAGTCCAAGCTAAAATCCCAAATCTGCATGTCATGGTGCATTCCTGTCACCTGCAGCTACTTGGGAGGCTGAGCTGGGGGAGGCCGTGATGCCAGGCCAGCCCGGGCAGCAAAGCCTAAGACTCCATTCCCACGAGGAAACCTAGGTGCCGTGGTGCCGTGTGCCCATGAGCTCAGTGACTGCAGGAGGCCCAAAAGCAGGCAGACTGTGACTCAGGGGCTCTCCTGGCCAGCAGGTGAGACCCTGTCATAAAAATAACAAGCAGGAACAAGCTGGGGTGTAGTGTGCGGTAGAGTGCTATCCCAGCAAGGTCAGGGTACTGAGTTCAAACCATAACGCACTATACTTTTATGGATTCCTGTTGTTTTTCTTTCCACAGTGAGCTGAATGCCAAGTCCAGGGAGTTACAGCTGCAGATCACAGAGGACGAGCAGGCCTCGGAAGGTAGGTGCTATCACTCTAGACAGGCTCCTGCTGAGTAATCCAGCATATTGGATGTGTTTAGGTCTCCATAAGCAGGTCAAAGCCGGGAAGATGGCTGACCCTCGTTCAGCGGATCCAGCTGTGTGGTAAAGTCACCTAGTTACCTTCAAGGCACGAGGCAGTTGTTTCTAACTAGCTAGCCATGACCCGGTCATCAACAAATGTTCCCAGGCTGTCTTCCTGAATCTTTTTTTTTTTTTTTTCCAGCCCTGGGGCTAGAACTCAGGACCTGGGCACTGTCCCTAAGCTTCTTTTTGCTCAAGGCTACCACTTGAGACACAGCACCACTTCCAGGTTTTTCTGTTTATGTGATGCTAAGGAATTGAACCCAGGGCTTCATGCATGCTAGGCAAGCACTCCACCACTAAGCCACCTTCCCAGCCCCGTCTTCCTGAATTCTACAGTCATGAGCTGCGCCAGCTGGCCCTGAGATCTGACATTCCAGGAGATGGTGAGCGGGACTCACAGGGCAGAGCAGCAGTGTCCCAGCTCCTATTGGTCTTGGTCCCATCTGTGCCAGACCAGCCTTGCAAAACCAAGCAAAGATCACCCATGCGACCTGTATTCAAAATCACGTTTTTAACATGTGCCAACGTCCTGTATTCTCTATGCTCGTAGTCAGGCCCTCCATCTCTCCTTTTACTCTACCCCACTCTTACACATATACACATATTTGAGGATAGATTATGTTCCTCTTGGCTTTTTCTGCCCCTACATTTTTAAAGATGTATGTCCTAAGAACAAATGTATTTTCTCATGCCCACAGCATAGTTAGCATCTTTTGATAGATATTGATCCAATTTTCGAATCTGCCATTTGCATTCCAGGTTTTAGATGCTCTGAGCATTTCCCTCCTCTCCATTGGGGTCAGATTGTTACCTGTGACTGTCTCGTGGTGGCTGAGCTACCTCTGTAGCCATCGGTCTTTGATGACACTACTAGCTTGTGAAATTCTAATAAGGCCTCCTCCGCTCACACACTCCGCTCGGGGTGTATGCCGGTGGCGGCTTCCTGAGGGACTGGGAAAAATGTGCACAGATAAACTTTCTTGTCTTCTGTTCCTTAGGTCTGTTGGCAACAGCAACAGTTCGTCTGGACTTGTTTAGGAAGCAGCCTTCAGGACTGCAGATCTTCACGCTGAGCAGCGAGCCCGCCCCTGGCAGCTCAGTACTGGGTTCGGTCACTGCAGAGGTATGGTGCGTGCTTCCCGTGGCAGCTCCCAGCCTGAGCCTCCTTTCAGGAGCGTTCACTTGAGTCTGCCAGAGCTTGCTGTTGCCTCTGTGTGATGTAATGTTTGAGGCTCATCTAGGAGAGCCCGGAGGAGCACGGTGGCTTCTACACGGGTCGGGACAGTCCTGCCTGTGATGGGGTCAAGTCTCTGTTGTGCAGGGTGACTTCTCGTGCCCATGTCTAGAAGCCCATCTTCTTAAATTTCTCTTTCATTTGTATCTTCACGTGCTGGTTTCGGCTCTCGTGGTTCTATGCCGTTTCTGGGGAAACCCAAGTTAATAGACAATGCTGACTGTCGCCGGTTGCATTAGAGGAGGCCTGTGTTCCATTGCTACTCAGCATTCTGCCCTAACCCACCACATCCACGTGGGATCACCTGTGGATTGAAACTGAAGCAAATTCAACTGTATAAACACATGTGGACCTTTTATTTCCAGCCACTGGCCCTTTGGCAGAACAGAATAAACAACTCTTTCCATAGTGTGTACATTATATTATGTGTTAGAAGTCATCTAGAAGCCATTTAAGGGTTGAGATTTGACTACTGACACACAAAGCCTTAAGTGTAAGGCCAGGTGCTGGTAGTTCACACCTGTAATTCTAGCTACTCAAGAAGCTGAAACATGGTTGGAAGCCAGCCTGAGCTAAAAAGTCTGTGAGACTCTTATCTCCAGTGAGCCAGCAAAAAGCTGGAAATGAGGATGTGGTTCAAATGATGGAGCACCAGTCTTGAGCAAAAAAGCTCAGCGACAGCGCCCAGGTCCTGAGTTCAAGCCCCAAGACCAGCATAAAATAGAGTATGTGGATGCATAGATGGCACCATTTTAACCAAGGGACCTGAGCATCCTGGAGTTCAGAACCAACCAGGGGATGGGACAGCGGGACAGTCCAATAACCAACTTCTCTGCAGTTTTCCTACATAGAACCTGGTGAGGGGAAGTCCTGCCTGGCGCCTCCCCCTGTGCCTGCTGCGAAGATAGAGAAGGACCGCACGGTGATGCCGTGTGGCACTGTGGTCACCACTGTCACCGCGGTGAAGACCAAGCCTCGCTTTGACGTAGGGAGGGCATCCCCGCTGAGCTCAGGTGAGACACAGGGCACTGCCCTGCGGGAAGTCAGCGCACGCTCATAGGCTGCACCCGCCCTGCGGGAAGTCTGCGCATGCTCATAGGCTGCACCTGCCCTGCGGGAAGTCTCCTAGAGTGCACTTGTCCTGCAGGAAGGCTACATTGCCCCTAGAGGGCCCCTGCCCTGTGGGAAGTCCGCGTGGCCTTAGAAGGCACCTTCCTGCAGGAAGGCTGTGCATGCTTCCTAAAGAGCACCTGGCCTTCAGAACTCTGCGCATGCCCTGAGGGTATACTTTGCCTGTAGGAAGTCTGCGCAGCTCCCCAGCCTTCAAAGGGCCGCCCTGAAATTTCAGGGTGCCTTGTGTTATAAAATCCCAAGGAGAATTCACAAGACTCGTTCAGGCTGGCTTTGACGTTGGACAGTAATCCTTTCAAAGAAATAAATGCTGACAGGCTAAAGCAAGGATCAGTCAGTGGTTGCATATTCTGAAGCACAAGTGTAGGAATTCCAAGTTGTTAGATTCTGATAGAACGGGTTAAATCCAGTACTCCCCGAGGCTCATCATGGAAATTCAGCACCGATGGTTGAATATAGGTTAAAAGTCATTCATAAGCCAGGCATGATGGCGAATGTCTGTAATCCCAGCACTCAGGCTGAAGCTAGCCTGCGACACGTACTGAAACCTTGCCTCCAAAAACAAAACAAATGTTAGGCCATGAGACTCTTATCTCCAATTTACCATAAAAAGCCAGAAATGGAGCACACGCACACACACACACACACACACACACACACACACACACACACACACACACACACATATGAAGTCTGACATGCTTTTGTACTTGGCCCCACATCTCAACCTTGGAGAAACCTTGTGGTGTGTGATGTATTATTATTTGATTCATACAGTGTCTCTGCTTGCAAAAGCACTACCTTCCCAGATTAGATGCTGGGCACACACAGGTCAGGAATGCACTTCTGGCTTCATTAAAATAGCTCTGAAACCTGGGCTTCCAGCCTCCCTTTGATCCCACCACGTAAAGAATGATGGCAACTATAGATCTGAGGTTTGGCTCTGACTGGTGCCAAATGCAGGGCCTAGCGGTGCAGTGAATGGACCGTCCCCCACCCCACCCCGCCCCAGCCTTCCACTCAGCTTTGTTGTGCCTTTGGTGATGGGTGTCTCTCTGACAGAGTCCCCTGTGAAGACACCGGTGAAGGTGAAGGTCATTGAGAAGGACATCTCGGTCCAGGCCGTCCCGTGCCACAGCACACCCGTCAGCAAGACGTTCTCTTCCTCAGACACAGGTAGGGGAGAGCACCTGCTCTTTCCTCTCTCCGTGTTTGCACTGATTTCCAAGTTTGGGAAGAGGTGGGGGCTTTTCGTAATAAGTTGCAAGTGAGGAGATCGTGAGCTGGAGGGACACTGCTCCAGCTAGTTTGGGGGAAGACTTTAACAAGATGTAGAAACCCCAAGGAGGCATTCCTTGCTCTAACTTCCTGAACACTGTGTTTCTTGTCTTTAACACATCAGTGACCCTAATGCCATCAGTGAGCAGGACTGGAGACACATCCCCAGGCAGAGCCTGCACTCTGCTTTTGCATCCTAACAACAGTGGCCAGCCCTCTGGGTACCAGTTCTCATATTTAGGGTCGTTTGGGGGGTAAAGGGTCTGAGTGGAGGACTAGCTTCTCCCTCCTCCTCCTGGGCCCTCAAGAGGGTGCATCTGCCTGCAGGTGGGCAGTTTCTCTCCTCCCCCCTCCTGTTCTCATCTTGTCCAGGTCAGAGATGGGCAAGGCCTTCTCCAGGAGTTCCTGTCCACTCTGGGCGTGGTCTGTTTTCTCCCGGGCACTGCTGCCCTTCCCTAGAGGGTTCCATGGCCTCTGTGGACCTGCTCCGCTGGCCTCCTGTGTCCTTGTGGACGTAGGCCGGGCCCTCCTCTGCTGTGACTCCCCCCTTCCCCACGCCTCCCTTCTTCACTGCTCCAGGCCCTTCTCCTCGGCAGATGCTGTACAGAGGGGGGATTACAGTTACATGAGTAGCATTTCTTGCAGAACATTTTTACCCCCTTCTTTCTTTTTCTCCCTTCCCTCCCCCACTTCTCCCCCACCTCCTCTTTTTTTAAGGCTCTTGGCTGGTGTTCCATGGTGGAGCCAGCGCTCAGGTGATGGTCTGCTGTGTAGCAGGTTTCCCAGGCTTCCCTGAGAAGCCCCTTGACCTCCACCCACCCGGGACTGCTCAGAAACCAGCCTTGGAGGAGGGACTCCTATGTCCCTCCCCAGGAGCTTTCCTCTAGACCTTTCTTTCCTCTCAAGTAGGGGCAGGGCTGGCTAAACAAAACATCATTTCTACACACATTTCTGGGACTAGCGGTGTGATCCCCAGATCTCTACAAGGACGAAATAGGGAGTCCTGCAGTTTAGTTCACCTGTGGTGGTGCCCATCCTGGTGTAAGCACCCAGTCCCCAGGTGGCCTGTGCTGGTCTGACTTTCTGGGCATTCTCTTCCTGGGTCTCCAGGGCTTGGTGTGGGCTCGGCCTTTCAATGCAAGGCAGCCCTTCTCGGTTTATCGATCTGTGTGAAGTTGTCCATGGACAGCCAGAGGAAGGGTGATGGAGGGCAGGTTCCAGGAGGGTAACCATCCAGGTGCTTCTGTTAAGGCGTGGGTGTGCCTTCCTCTTGGCACTGGCTACGGTGGCCACCCAGAGACTCTTGAGTCTACCATTTAGGGATTTAGGGCCCTTCCATCACCTGAGCATAATCTCTGCAATCACTGGTCATTAGAGATTGAACTCAGCCTTCATTTTCTCTTCCTCACCCCTCCCCACAATGTGACAATTTCTGATCACTGTGTTGGTTCCCTTGTCAACCAGTCCCCATCTCCATTAGCATAAACTGGGTGTGGTTGTAAGAGGCTTATTATACATAAGAAAAGACCACCTGGAAAATTCTCTGGGTTCCAGCAGCTGAGGCGTCAGGACCTGAAGAAAGGCCCGATGTTCCTTTCGCCTGTGTGCTTCTCGGTGCGCAGCCTGTGCTCGCGAGTATGGCCAACGCTGAGATGGGACAGGCTCCTTTTCACCTCCTGCTCTGCCATCTTTTTTTTTTTTTTTTTGTCAGTCCTTGAGCTTGAACTCAGGGCCTGGGTGCTGTCCTCGAACATTTTTGCTCTACTGCTTTGAGCCACAGCATGACTTCCATTTTTTTGGTGGTTAATTTTGAGATAAGAGTCTCATGGACTTTCCTGCTTGGGCTGGTTCGAACCACGATCCTCAGATCTCAACCTCCTAGGTAACTAGGATTACAGGTGTGAGCCACCAGCACCTGGCCTGGTCTGCCATCTCTAACTGCCTTAGCAGAATGCTGTAAGCTACAACATGGGCTGTGGCACCCGGTGCTGCTGCCTACCTGGTTGCCTAAATGAAGGAGTCATTTTTTATTTTAAGTAAGAGAATCTGCCTCTTAGGGCCTAGAGATGAACAACTCTTCCACTATGATGGGTCCACAGACACCTACAGAAGACAACAGCCGGTGTGGGTGAAGTGTGATCGTTGTCAGCTGGCCCTTCCCAGCTCTGATTGCCATTCTGTGTTTCACCACTCTTAGGAAGAAGGAAGAGCTATATGCCTTTCAAAAATCAAAGCCTGAGCCAGGCGCCGTGGCTCACGCCTGTAATCCTAGTTACTCAGGAGGCTGAGATCTGATGATCACAGTTCAAAGCCAGCCCAGACAGGAAAGTCCATGAGACTCTTAACTCTAATATGCTGCCAGAAAACTGGAAGTGGCGCTGTGGCTCAAGTGGTAGAGTGCTCACCTTGAGCTGAAGAGAGGAAGGACAGTGCCCAGGCCCAGAGTTCAAGCCACGACTGAAAAAGAAGTCAAAACCTTCTAAAATTCTGAAGATTTAGTCATTCTTTACTATTGTCATTTTCATCAACCCTATGGATGACAGTCCTCCACTTAACCCATAACAGAACACATGAATCTTAAGTAGATACTTCAGTGAGGGACCACCCAGGGGTTCAAGTTGTAGATCAAGCCTGGTTAACCAACCGGTCCACAAGTCACATGTGACTTGTCACTCATTTTATGAATAAAGTTTTATTGAAAGCTAGCCATGCCTGTTCATTCCACATGGCCTCTGTCTGCTTTCACTCCTCAAAACATGATGGGTGAGTTGTTGCAGAGGCTGGTAGCCTGCAAAACCTAGACTACTTACTCTCTGGCCCTTTGTAGAAAATGTTTGCCAAGCACCGGTTATAGACCATTTCCATTAGCCCGAAGTTCTCCTGTTTGCTAGTGAACTCAGCACTATCTTTCTCCGGCAGAGTTGTTGGTGTTGAACGGCTCAGACCCAGTGGCTGAAGTTGCCATTCGCCAACTCAGTGAATCGTCCAAGCTGAAGCTCAAGTCCCCCCGGAAGAAAAGTACTATCATCATTTCAGGGATCTCCAAGGTACAGTCAACTTGGCTGCTCAGCCTCTTCCCCTGTGAGGGAGTCTGTTCACATACCCAACCAACACGTGAAACCCTTCTTTCCCATTATGTCAAATGGTATCCGCCCCCCAACAAGGCAGCTTGGTGGTCTTATGATGCACAGGTAATCCTGTTTATGAAGGAAATGTGCAAGGTCCTGGCCCGTGATGCTTTGCATGTGGATGGTGGGTAGATCGTTTGTATGGTGTGAGACTTCCCTCGGCTACAGGCGATGCTTTCAGGGAACTGCCCAGCCGCTGTTTTGCCCGTTACCCATATCTAAAGCGTTTTAATTTTTGCAATGAATGTACATTTTGATATCAGAGACAAAGAAAGGTTATTGTCTAGAATGCTCCATCCCCACTCCTTCCTTCCTCCCGCTTGTGATGTCTGTGGTTCTACATGCCCCACCCCCAGCAGAGGAGGGAAACCAGGCTGCAGGGCAGGCCAGCTCTTGAGACCAGGGGCCACACAGACTCAGGCTCCTTCTTTTTTTTTTTTTTGGTCCGATCGTGGGGCCTGAACTCTGGGCCTGGGCGCTGTCCCTCAGCCCTTCAGCTCAAGGCTAGCACTCTACCACTTGAGCCACAGTGCCACTTCCGGCTTTTTTTTTCTGCTTATGTGGTGCTGAGGAATCGAACCCAGGGCCTCATACATGCAAGGCAAGCGGTCTACCACTGAGCTACCTTCCCAGCCTTCAGGCTCTTTTTTGATCCTTGCAGATATACACGTGGAGGGGTGGTTGAGAGGTTTTGTTTACAGTGAGACAGAGAGGAAGAAATTTAGCACGTGGACTGGTCACTGAAAGGGTGGACAGGAGCGATACTGATACCAAAACAGAATGCCTGAGTCTCCATTGCACCCTGGGCACCAAGCTCAAAGGGTAGCCTTGGACATCAGCGGGGTGGGCCGAGTCTCTTCTTGGTGGCCGCAGCAGCCAGGTGGTCTCTGGGGCCACAGCCCTGATCTGGCTTGCTGTGGTTCCCAACCCTGGCTAAATGAGCAAAACAAGTCCACCAAGAGATGTTTTTCATTGGTGCTCAACGCATCGCCATCTGCATTTGGCCAGCACTAGTGGTACAAGATGCACTGTTGTCAGAAAAGCACGGGTGTCCATCTCATCAAGTAAAGTCAGGTGTCCAGCTGTCACCCAGGTCAAGAGCAGCGTGACTGGCCCCTGAGCAGCCCCCTCCTCCCCAACATCTATGTTCCCACTGAAGCCGCGGCCCTGACTCACCCCACAGGTCCAATGAGTGTCCATGTGTGTTCCCATAGGAATATAATGTAAAGTCTCTAGTGACCCATCACTACTTGAAGGCAGCCTTAAAACACTGTAGGGACAAAGATTAAAAGACTAGGTCTGTTGTGCCTATCTATAATCCCAGTTACTCAGGAGACTGAGATCTGAGGATTGAGGTTTGAAGCCAGCGTGGGCAGGGAAGTCCATGAGACTCATCTCCAGTGAACCACCAAGAAGCCAGAAGTGGAGCTGTGGCTCAGGTGGTAGAGCTCTAGCCTTGAACACAAAAGCTCAGGGACAGCTCCCAGGCCCAGAGTTCAAGCCCCAGGACCAGCACCAAAACCCCCAAACAACTGAGTCTGAAATATCCAAGTTCCGCCCTGTAAAACCCTATGTGCTGCCTTGCATTTCACATGCCGAGCAGCTCAAGCACGCCGCTCTCGAGAGGACGTGAGCAGAGCACTGCCTGCCCTATCTTCCCTGGGTTGGCATTGGCCCTGGCCTCAGCGCCTGACGGTGCCTTCTCCTCCACAGACCTCACTGTCTCAGGACCACGAAGCTGCCCTCATGCTGGACTACGCGGCCTCCATGGGTGACGCCTGCCAGGCGGATGCTGTCCCCGAGCCGGTACCCCCAGCACCCCCAGCACCCCCAGCAGCAGCCTCCCCTGCACAAGACGAGCCCACCCCGGCCCCGCCCGAGCCCCGGGAGAATGAGCTGGACTGCTGGGACCTGGAGAAGGGGTCTCAGGCAGCAGCGTGGTGCAGCCCAGCCCTGCTGGAGACCGATGGAGACGAGCTGTCAGAGAGCTCCCTGAGCGCCTCAGAGCCGGGCACTGCCAAGAAGACCAAAGGTACCTGTCGAGCAGCCCTGGGCCTCCGCGCAGCGGCTTTGCCCTGTCCTGGTTTCCGTGGGAAGTTTGAGTCCTCATCAGCCTCCCTTCCCTTCGTCTTCCATGAGTCCATCCAGCCTCACCCCCTCACTCCTAAACTGCCCTGTACAGAGTGCTCAAGCCCCCCAAAAGCTGTGGGCATTCTGGGGGCTCTTTGTGTGTGTGTGTGTGTGTGTGTGTGTGTGTGTGTGTGTGTGTGTGTGTGTGTGTGTGTGTGTTGGTGAGAGTGGCTACATCACCTCTTGCATTTGGGGCTAGTTTGTGTTCATGCCAAGAGGTACCTCCCCTGCCTGGCTCACTCCTGAGCTAGCCAAGACATCTGAGAGTCATCACAGTCAAGTGTCAAGGTAGCCAGGGGCTCCCAGGAGAACCAGGTAGAGACTGGGGCTTCAGCTGCAGGGCTGGACACTTGTTTGTCCCTCTCAGATTTTTTTCTTCCAGCTTGAGTCAAGCTGAGCCTCACTACATGAACCTCACAGGATCTATAGGAAAGGAAAGCCCTAGAAATGGATCGATTAATTTAATATGTGTGTAGTAATGAGCTCCAATTAACCACTGAAATATATAGATGTATGGATACAGATAAATGAAGAGAAAATGAGAGGACTTCAGACCTCCAAATTCTCAGTGCACCTCCCTGTTCATTCTGAAATGCAAAATCTTCCTTACGCTTTCACAAAACACCTTCCCCCTCCCCTCTCCTCTTTCCTCCCAAGAGTCTCCCTGTGTTCCTGCCTTCGCTGGCCCTTGTTGCTCAGAGCCTCTCCTTCTCTGGCAAGTGGACCAATGCCTTTGGGATGTTGGTTGCACTATGCTGGGGATAGGGCTGTCTCTGATGATGGGGCCCCCCCTTCTCCGGCCCCCCCCTCCCCCCCGCTGTGGATGCAGGGCCTACCTCGGACACCAGCTTTGAGCGTCTGAGAGGGAGAGTGATGTTAGCCAAACAGCTCACTTCACTCCTGGAGCATGACTGCCTCAACCCAAGATTTTCTTTTTTTTTTTTCTGTGTACAGTCTTTATTTCAAATACTTGTTATAACACCATTCTTAATCCTTTAGGACATGAACAAAGATCACCTCCCTGCAGAAACATCACAACTATGTACAGAACTTTTACAGAACCAAGGCAACAAACACTTCAGTGTTAGAAAAGGAAGGAGAAACTTCAGCTGCCATCAAGCATTATCTTGTGGTGGCCATAAACTATACTCTTGTTTTGGAAAGTTTGGGTAGAGCCCAGGAATTCCGATTGTCTACTTGGTTATACTCCTGGCTGAGGTGCCATTAGATCAATGTCACTCAAATTCCTGGCCAGCCACACTCCCGCAGCAAATAGTCCCAAACTGAGGATCAGGTTCCTCCGAAAGTCGTTCCTGTCTGTGGCAAAGCGGTAGACGCCCCGGAGCCAGCCTCCCACGTTGTCTGGAATCTCAGGGGCTTCATTTGCCAGGCTGGCTGCGCTCGCCGCCGCCCCGCTGGAAGCCATAACCGGACTCGCAGCCTCCACACAAACCCGGACCTCTAGTGCCGGTCCTCAACCCAAGATTTTCTAAAATGAGATATTTGGCAGAGATTTTGTTCTAGTTTTTCATCCAGGGTTTTGGTCTTTGTTGTCTTTTCTTTTCTTTCTTTCCTTCCTTCCTTCCTTCCTTCCTTCCTTCCTTCCTTCCTTCCTTCCTTCCTTCCTTCCTTCCTTCCTTCCTTCTTTTCTTTCCTTTCTTTCTCTCTCCCTTCCTTCCTTCTTTCCTTGCTTCCTTGCTTCCTTCCTTCCTTGCTTCCTTCCTTCCTTCCTTCCTTCCTTCCTTCCTTCCTTCCTTCCTTCCTTCCTTCCTTATCGGTTGTCAGGCTTGAATTCTGGGCTGGGTGCTGTCCCTGAGCTCTTTAGCTCAAGGAGAGCACTCCAGCACTTGAGCCACAGCACCACTTCTGGTTTTCTGGTGGTTCATTGGAGATAAGAGTCTCTGGACTTTGCTGCTGGGCTGGCTTTGAACTGTGATCCTCAGATTTCAGCCTCCTGAGTAGCTAGGATTACAGGTGTGAGCCACTGGCACCTGGCTCATTCCAGAGGTTTCTAGAAGATTCCTGTTGAGATGTTGGCAAAAATCCTAGATAAGTCTGTGTTGTGGTTCCCAAGTAGTTTTCATTTCACAACAAAGTCTTTTTGGAAACCGGTACCATGGGAAATAGCGGAGTTTGTGTTGTCTCTGCCATTCTCCGTCTGTGCTCTGAGGTTTGGGGAACTGAGGAAGGGAGGGAGGGGTTGCAGGCAGGGTCTTGATTCTGTTGTCCACTTCCATATGGCTTGGGACTACAAGTGTGTACTTCCATACCCAGGTCTCTCCCTCTCTCTTCTCTGTCTCTCTCTCATTTTCCCTTTCCCTCTCCCTCTCCTTCCCCCTTCCCTCCCCCCCCCCCCCATCAGTACTGGAGTTTGAACTCAGGGCCTGGGCACTGTCTGTGAACTTTTTTGCTCAAGGCTAGTGCTCGACCACTTGAGTCACAGCTCCACATCTGGCTTTTTGGTGGTTAATTAAAGATGAGACTCTCACAGAATTTTCTGTCTAGGTGGCTACCAACCACAGTCCTCAGGTCTCAGCCTCATCAGTAGCTAGGATTACAGGCATGAGCCACTGGTGCCCACCGCCAGTCTTTATTTTCATGTTAGCATGCCACCTGACCCTTTGGTCTTCGCAGGGATTCTGTTCTAGGCTTCTGTTTGGAATCCCCTGGAATTTGGCAGGCTGGCTAGAAATCTAGGTACTGTGATGCTTCGGCTAAGGTTTCCAAAAATAAGTTCATTTTTCTGTCTTGAAAGGAGTGGCAACATTGTTGAACACCAAGAATGGACTTGATACCACTAATCCTCACCTGCAGAAATGCTAGGATAGTAAGTCTTAATGTAATTGCATGACTTACCACAACGGCATCAGGGGAGGTTTTAAAATAATAACTGGGAAAGGAAGAAAGCCTCCCAAATGCCCTGCATTAGCCTCTTTGCATGCACATGTGTGTGTGTGTGTGTGTGTGTGTGTGCATATGTGGAGGCGTGTACGTGTGCACATGCAGGGTGAGTGACCCCAACTCTGACTGTCCTCCATTCTGATGGTGCTCTTGCGTGCTTTTCTTTTTACCTCCTCCGTCTCTGCATCGCGTGCTCATTCCTTTCACTTAAGAGGATCGCTATGCCTACCAGAGTTAATTCCTACACAGTAAGTTATTTTCGACTTATGTTTTTAAATTGCGTGTTACTGTACTATGAGAAAAGCACGTAGAAGGTATAGCAGTGCTCACCCGTAGTCCGAGGTTGCTCCCTGCCCGGCTCCCTGGTGGCTGGATGGGTCCTCGTGGTGCTGCCTACTTTGGAAGGGGTCACCATGGAGTTGTGACGGGGTCAGAGGTCCCTTACAGTGCCTGGAGTCATGGAACCCAGACTGGGGTCGGAGTCCCTCAGTGACCCTCCTGTCCTAATGGTTGGTGCTGCACACGGACCATTCACCGGTCCATTTGACATCTGCAGCTGTTTGGGGGACAACAGCATTGCTCTTGGCTGTTGCGTTCCTGTTTAAAAGACTTTAAGACATTTATGTATTTGTTTTTGTGGGTTTGCTTTGCTAGTGCTGGTGCTTGAACTCAGTGCCTTGTGCTCTTGCTTGGCTTTCTTGCTCCAGTTGGCACTCTGCCACTTGAACCACATCTCCACTTCTGGCTTTTGGCTGGTCAATTTGGGAGAAGAGTCCCATGGACTTTTCTTCCCAGACTGCTTTCTAACCTCAGATCCCAGCCCCCTGAGTAGCTGGAGTTAAAGGAATGAGTCAGTGGCGCCCAGTTTAAAACACACTTCAATTAGCTATTTATAGCCCTTCAGGATCATACAGACAAGTAAGATGCATTTAGAAGAAGGTTTAATTCTGTCGTGAATTTGTATATCAGCTTTTTTGTTAAGCCGTACTTGAGTTTTCAACTCAGTGCCTTCTGCTTGCTAGGCAGGGCCTGTACCAAGGGAAGAATTCTTAATTCTTTCTCTCCTCTCTACCCCTTGTTTAAAAACCTTGGTTATTTTATACTAACATAAGCCTCAGGTTTCATACAACTTCTCTCTAAATTGTATTGTTACTGTTACCATCTCCATTTTATCTTATATTAATTTCCTTTTTCGTCCTTTTTAGTTCCTGTCATGGGGTTTGAACTCAGGATCTCCAACTCTTGCTTGGCTTTTTTTTTTTTTTTTTCACTCTGCCACCTCTGGCTTCTTGTTGGTTAATGAGAGATAAGATTCTCTTGGGTGGGGCTGGGAAGATGGCTCAGTGGTAGAGTGCTTGCCTTGCATGCATGAAGCCCTGGGTTCGATTCCTCAGCACCACATAAGCAAAAAGAAAAAAGCCGGAAGTGGCACTGTGGCTCAAGTGGTAGAGCGCTAGCCTTGAGCTGAAGAGCTGAGGGACAGCGCCCAGGCCCAGAGTTCAGGCCCCATGACTGGAACCAAAAAAAAAAAAAAAAAAAGATTCTCTTAGGTTTGTCTGCCTAGGCTAGCTTTGAACCATGATCCTTAGATCTCAGTCTCCTGAGTAGCTAGGATGACAGGCGTGAGCCACTGGTGCCTGACTATTAATCATCTTAATCATAGAAATTTTGGGGTCCATGTGGCCATCTGGCACATGCAGAGAGTGTGCAGTGTTCACGTCACTGCACGGGACTAGAATTAGCATTCCCTTCTCCTTAAACATGAAAAAAAGGGCGTTGAGTAATACACACCTACGCACACGGTGTCTGTGGCCTCATCAAATGTACACAGTAGGAGCTGACCAAATCCAGCCTTTCATGTTTTCATCGATGTGTTTGGAGCCTTGTCACACAGTGTGTGCTTTATTCTGCTGTGGTGACAGCTGTGCTGCAGAATGCAGGTGGAGTTTAGTCCTGTAGACTGTGTCTGGGCCTCCTCCACCCCGCCTCCCCATGCCCACCCCTGGGCCTCCTCCACCCCGCCTCCCCTGTCCATCCCTGGGCCTCCTCCACCCTGCCTCCCCCTGCCCATCCCTGGGCCTCCTCCACCCTGCCTCCCCCTGCCCATCCCTGGGCCTCCTCCACCTGCCTCCCCTGCCCGGCCTGAGCTCACTTTTCGACTCTGGCACTCTTCCGCTGCATGGGAGGGAGTTGAGGCGGGGTGCGGATCTGGTCCCGCCCGGGTGGCAGAGGAGGTGGTGTGGGTCACTGGTCAGGAGCCACAGCTCACAGTGATGGGCACTGAACTCGCCCTTCTGCCCAGTGCAGCAGGTTCCGTGGGCTCAGAATCACACGCCATCATCTTCTGAGCAGCTGTGGTGTCCGCTGGCATCTTCCAGAGGAACGGGGCCCTCAGGCTGGGGTAGGGAATTGGCGTTGTTGAGTGTGAGGCCGAGAGGCCCGTGGCAGGTTGACGGGACAGGTCGGCAGTTTGGCAGGTGGGAGACTCAGGCAGGAGCTGCTGTCACAGTCTTGAGGCTTCAGGTTTTGCTTTTTAAGTCCTTCCGCTGATTGGGCTAGGCCCACCCACTTAATCTGGGATAATTTCCTTTCCTTACCAGCCACTGCACAATTCACCTACACAGCAGCACCTAGACTAGCGTTTGACTGAGTCCCTGAGCACCGGGGCCGAGTCGGTACAGACACTGGACTTCCTAGGCAAGCTGTCAGACGGGTTGATTCCCAAGAGCCAGCAGGACACACTGTCACCTGTGCCAACCCCAGAGCTGGGGATGGCTGTGCCCTGGTCACCAAGCAAAGCGTGGTAACTGTGTGAGCTGTGTGGCAGCCAGGTTTAAACAGACTTTTTAGAATTGTTTCGGGGCAAGCCCTGGATTTGATCCCCAGCACCGACAAGAAACAAAACAACAAAGCCTGTGGCTTAGAAGAGAAAGCTGGATGAGCTGGGGGGGTGCCAGCTCTCCTACATGGCTGATCCTGGGGTGCCTTGCCCTTCCCCAACACCTCTCCAGAGCTAGGATGGTTCCAGAATCATGCTCCAGCCTGTGTTGGGCCACAGGCCATGCTGAATGGCCCTCCCCAGGGAGCAGACATCTGGCTGCCTTGCTTGAGGACAGTTGCTGGGCCTGGGAACAGGGGCTTCAGAGCCATCGTGGCCAGTGGGCGCCCCAGGCCCACACAAATCAGTGTCGCCTCCTCAAAACTCACATTCTTATTTGTGAGCTGGGCCCTGGCTCCCCCCTCCCCTCCTGCCTGCCCCCTACCCGCCTGGCTTTGAGTAGCACCTGGCAGACACCTGCAGAATTCCAACCCACCCCACCATGTGCCCTCCGTGCCTAAAGCCAGAGTGACTGTGCACAACAGGGCGCAGTCCCGTGCCCAGCAGAGAAAGCAAGACATCCGCCCCAAAATAACCAGCAACACATGGAGTTGTGGCTCAGATGGTCAAGGGCCAGCCTGTCAAGTGCGAGACCCTGAGTTCAAACCCCAGTACCACTAAAGCCTTATTGTCTGATAGTTCCAGCTAGAGTAAATGCAGTCCATTCTCCCAACTTTCCAGCTCCTCTGAGGTAGGAAGTTCAGCCTCATGTCAGCCCCACGGCTGCTGACTGAGGTAGTTTCTTAGGCAGTCAGTGTCAGGCGCCTTTCCAGAGCTACCGCAGGCCCGCTATCTCCCCTGCTTTCTCCCCCAGCGCCCACCCCACCCTGCTCTGACCGCCCGTCCTCCCTCTTGCAGGAGGAATGCTGAAGAGAGGCGCCAAGTTGTTCTTCCGCCGGCGGCACCAGCATAAAGACCCGGGCATGAGCCAGTCGCACAATGACCTCGTGTTCCTGCAGCAGCCCGAGGAGCCCCGCGCGAGGAAGGGAGCCACCCTCACCAGGCTCCTCAACAGGAAGCTGCTCTCCAGGCACCGAAGCAAGAACACCATGAACAGCAGCCCCCAGGAGCCCTGCGCCTAGCTGCGCCCCCTGGCGGCTGGAGCTCAGATGTGATGGCCCCGCCAGGGGATGGAAGGGCGGGTCATCTGCTGGTATAGCTTGGTTGTTTCCAACCACCTCGTCTTTTACAGGGAAAAGGCCGCCTGCCACTGCAGCCAGGAGCCTCCCCTAGGCTGGACTGGGGAAGGCTGTTGCGGCCCCAGTGATAGGCTTAGAGGGACTTGTGTGGGGAGGAGGCTGCGAGCAGGGAGGGGTGAGGGGGCGCAGCTCTGGCGTAGGGCTGCGTGCTCCACACGGTGTCCTGAGGAGCAGGTGCCTCTGGTGGTTGCTGTGAGTGAGACCCAGATCACCTGTTCCGACTCGCTGCTTAGAATGAAAGCGTGGGCCTGGCAGCAAGGATGGGCCGGTGCAACCCGGGCGGCTCCTTGGTGGAGACAGTGCTTTATGCTGGGAGCTGAGAGGTGTCGACAAGGCAAGAAGGGATCCGCCTTTAGCATGAGCCATAGAACTTGAAAACATATGCAAACACTAAGTAAGTGCTAAGCCCGGCGTGAGGAGCACTTCTGGAGGTTACCAGGAATGCGCATGCCGGGCACCTCCGCAGATGCCCATGGGAGCCCTGCGCTTGTCTCCTGCGCTTGGCCGCTCGCTGCTGAGCCACAGCTGTCAGGCATCCACCTTCCAGCCGCCTCCCATGGCAAGCTGATACGGGACGCCAGGAGCAGCAGTGCGCAGTCATTCGGAAAAGGACACACGCGCGCACACACATGCACGCACACACACACACAACACAGGTGTTTGCCAAATATTGCCATCAGCCAAACCAAGTAGTTCTCGAGTCATAGAGGAAATACTTTTGACTCTCAGGTACCACCCAGTCTTAGGAATGGAGGTTTTAACAAATGGGCGAGGTGCGCGTGTGATTCTTCACAATTCTACTGTGAACACGCCCTGGCCATGTTTGCGGGAGACCTTGCTTCTGGTCTCCAGTGGGAGAAGAATGGGCCTGGAACACAGCTTCAATATGAACACGCATGAGTACGCTTGCTGAAGAGCACCTTGCATCGGGGTCAGGCGTGGCTGTCCGTAAGATTCATGTCCTTCCCATGAGACTGAAGAGGCTGACCTGGAAACCCGCCTCTGTCATGGGTGTGAAATTGGCTCACTCCTTAAGACAGGCACTTTTATTAATCCTCCAACAAATCTATCACAGGTAATAGAGCCATCGGTGAGCAAAAACTCCTTTATGAAAGCCAGAATTAGAGTTTTTCTTTTCTGTTTTTGAGGGTAAGATTGGAAAGCTACATAAGGAATTTTGCCTTCTGATAAATGTGAGAAACTTGCTGGGTATCTTGGGGCATCCTTCCATTCAGGTACTTGGGAGGCTGGGGCAGCAGGGTTTTGGGTTTGGGGCCTGCACTGTATAGCGAGCTCAGGTTTAGCAAAGTCCTGCTGAAGCAAAAAAAGGAACAAGGGGAATTTGTTTATCAAGTGACTTGGAAGTGACTTGCAACGCGCTTTGTTTTGGAAGCTGGCATTCTGATGTCAGTCACTCGGGGGGACTATCGAGTGTAGCTATGGGAGCTTGAAAGGCAGGTGGCACGTGAGGTCCTGTGGTGAGCAGAAACTGTGCCACACGGGTTGATTCTGAGGAGAGCGTGTGCAGGCTCACACCCAGTGAGGGCCTCAGCACAGGTCCAGCCTTGCATCTGAGGGGCTTGGGAGGAGACCTGTTTCGCATCAGAGGCTGACTTCTCCCACTAAGCCTCCCCACAAGAATTGTAGGATTTTTTTTTAACCAGGGATGTTCAACGCTATAGAATTTATATATTTGGTTTTTAAGTAGGCAAGTTCAAGTTACTCACATGTGAGGTACAGAATTTTAGGGTGTACGTTCTCTCAAAACCAAACAAAAGCAAATGCTTTTAGCCACCCTGTTCCCGGCTCCTGTGTGCGAGGCTCTCCTTCCCTGGGTGTACTAGCAGGGTCTCCACCAAATACACAACACTCACAGAGTGGGGGGGGGGGAGCAGGGGCCTCAGGGAGCACTGGGAAAATGGGCCGCGGACACTGAAGCTCCTCCCAGCTGTCTATGCAGGTCTGCTTTTTCATGGTGCAGCACATTTGTGCAAGAGCAAGTGTCATTCAAGGTGAAGATGGAGGGAACTTACGCATCAGATGCTAACACTCACATGCGCCTCACCTTTCACCCTTGCCTCTCATATAAGCTTTAAGGGGTGTCTGTCCTGGCGGGATTTTTCTGAGGAGTGCTATTTCAAAAGCAGTTCCTTGGGGACACTAATCTAGGCGTGGTTCGTCACTCTGGAGGCTGGTGTTCAGGTTGTGAGCTGGCCACCTGTCTCTTCTACTCTGTTTAAGGTTGTACCGTGTCCTCTGTGGAGGTATGAAATGGAGCTTTAAGTGTGTGTGTGTGTGTGTGTGTGTACAGATGTAGCAATAAAAAAGATCTTTTTCCAACCGAAAACCTGCTGTGGGAAAGGGGACTTGGACAGAGCACTTTATTTTAATCAAGTTTAAGTCCAGAGCCAGCCCTGGTCTCCCCCACTCCCCCTCTCCCTCCCCCCCCCCCCCCCCCCCCCCCCGCCTCCCTGGCCAGCCGCAGCTGACCCATTACGAGTCAGGTGCTGGTGTAGGCGCACTGGGCTGGGTGCTTGTGTGGTATACTGGCACTTTCCAAGCTGGAAGGGAAATGTGTGCGCGTGGCTCTCACCCCCAGCAGGTGTGTTCAGGACAGGTCCACTCAAGGCGGGCCATGCGGAGCCCTTGGGCCTGACAGGTAGAAACAGGTCTCAGCACCACCCCCACCCCACCTCTGTGCTGGGCCCCCTCCACTGGCCAGACTAGCCAAGACGCGATTGCCAGAGACCCCATCAGATCCCGCAAAGCAAGCTTGGGCCCTCCTGGCGGTGCACAGACACGTGGACTTGGAGTTTGTGCTTTTCTCCCCCAATGTCAGGTCAAACCCACATTTCCAAAAGGGAAGAAAGCCAGTGTCCTCCCCGTACACAGGAAGGTTTGGGTAGAGGCTGCCTGGCGCCCCCGCTCCCTGACTGTGATTGTATTCCTTGGCAGCACTTTAGGAATGGGGGCGGCTCTGCATGAGGCACCCGGGCTCCCGGCATGTTCCTTTGGAGAGGTGAGGCCAGACTGTGAACCATGTCTGAAAGAAATAAATGTACACATGAAACACCACACATGGCGCCCGTGTTTCCCTGTGTCCTCCTGGGCTTCTGGCCCGCTGGCTAACGTGGAAAGCTGCAACATCCTTTATTCTTTGGGAAGGGGCTTGAACTCTGGGCCCGGGCGCTGTCCCTCCGCTCTTCAGCTCAAGGTGAGCGCTCTACCACTTGAGCCAGTGTCACTTCTGGTTTTCTGGTGGTTCATTGGAGATAAGACTCTCACAGACTTTACTATCCAGCCTGGCTTTGAACCGAGATCCTCAGGATCTCAGCCTCCAGAGTAGCTAGGATTAAAGGTGTGAGCCACTGGCACCTGGCTCCTTTTTTTTTTTTTTAATGCAGACTGGAGCTCAGGCGCTCTCCGCGGCTGTGAGCCTTGCAGCTCCTCCCTCCCCTTTCAGGTGCTTTGTGGTTGGGAGCAAAGACATGTCCACTTGGGTGTTTGGAGCCGAGCGCTGGGACAACCTCATTTACTACGCACTGGGGGACTGGGGGGGGGATCCTCAAATTCAAGGAGCTTGAATTTAAGGCCTCATGCCTTTACTTGGCTTTCTTTGCTCAAGGCTGGTGCTGTACCAATTGAGCCACACCTCTACTTTGGGCTTTTGGGTGGCTAATTGGAGATTGCCCTGTTGGTATGGGGTCGAGGTTTGGGGCCCAGATCACCACAGAGAGCAGTTCCAGGACCTTTCGGGGATTTGTGAGGAACAATGGGTGCTGCGAGCTGGGGTTGATTTGGCCCAGGCCGGCGGCAGAGCCCCGCGTGCTGTGGGGGTGCATCTGGGAGGGAAATAGAGAGGGGAGAGGGAGGGTGACCTATGGTGCTTGTCACCCTTGGGAGTCTGCTGTGGGACCCATGTGATCCACTAAGACCTGTGCTCGGCCCTTAGGGGTGAAGGCAGGAGAGTGCTGAGCGAGCCCCCGGACCCTGCTGCCCGTGTCCTACCAAAGCAGGCGGCCTGCACGGTGCAGGAGATGGGAGTTGGCTTGCAGGGCGTGGCGGCCGTGTTGGGCGGTGACACTGCAGCCTGCGTGGTGCAGGAGCCCTCACACCACTGGCGGCACCTCCTCTCCTCTGTGGTCACCGGCAAACGCCTGAGGATCTGGAGACCCCTGGAACACTGGGAGATCGGGGGATTCCCCAGCCCCCCTCCTCCTCTCCCCCCTCCACTTCCTCCGAGTCATCCTGACCCGCGCATTCATCTCTGCCAGACAGTGAGTGCATCCAGCATTGAGCTGCCCTTCAATGTTCAAGTCACGCTGGAGCGCGCTTCACACAGCTCGATGTCCGCAGCTGTGGCCAGTGTAGAGGGGCACAGCTCCCACTCCAGACCCCTGCCACACCAGAGCGCCAGGACTATCCTGGGAAACTGAACCGAGCAAACCACATTACGTTTCCCCATTATTATTATGATTATGATTATTATTATCAGGCCAGAACTCTACCACTTGAGCCACAGCTTTGTCTGTGCATGCAGTACTGAGGAATGAACCCAGGGCTTCATGCATGCTGGGCAAGCGCTCTACTGCTAAGCCACATTCCCAGCCCTAGTTTCCCCATTTAAACCAAGAGTGTCATTCACAGGTTGCACTTTGCATTAGTGATGAAAAAAATTGGCCTGGGCTGGGTGCTGGTAGCTCACGCCTATAATCCTAGCTACTCAGGAGGCTGAGATCTGAGGATCGTGGTTCAAAGCCAGCCCGGGCAGGAAAGACCGTGAGACTCCTATCTCCAATAAACTACCAGAAAAGCGGAAGTGGCGCTGTAGCTCAAGTGGTAGAGCGCTGGCCTTGAGCTGAAGAGCTGAGGGACAGCGCCCAGGCCCAGAGTTCAAGCCCCATGACCGACAAAAAAAATAAAATAAAATAAATTGGCCTGAAACAACACCACCCTTTTCTCCTCCAACTCTGGAATTGGAGGTATAAATCTAGGGAACACATGGGCAGCGTGGGCAGACAGGGCTGGGATCCCTGTTCAGGGCGCTGATGAAGGCTGCAGGCGGGTTGAGATCTCTGGTTACTTCTGTCCTTTGCTTTTGCTGTGACCTGTCACCTCTTTCTTTTGTGTGCGCTGTTACTTATTTAGTGTACATATGGGCAGACCCCGGATGAGGAGCTGGCCTTGGAAACCTGGAAAAGCCAAGGTAGAGACGAGGGAGAGGGACAGGAGGAAGGCTGGAGGGAGGCGGGACATTATGGCTCTGTAGGATGTAGTAGGAGAAAGGTTGGCTTCCTGTAATACAACCAGAAGCCTCTGTGGAATGGGGGCAGAGTAAAAGGCGAACCCCACCGTACAGCACTGGTGAGTGGCTGTGCCGGACATGGTACACACAACACTTCTGATGGTGCTCAGCCATTTCCAATGTTACACAAGAGCCATTCTATACAGAGGCTCTGCCCCTAAGGTGAAGGAACCCTTATGTATGGGATTGGGGTAAGAGGCATCTGCAATTCCTGTGCCTATTCAGATTCCGGGGACAGAAGTGGAGCTGTGGCTCAAGTGGTAGAGTGCTAGCCTGGAGCTAGAGCTACTAGGGGGAGGGGGGGGGAGATGTGTGGAGAGGGTGAAATAGACAGATTCCCTGGCAAAGTGAACACTTCTCACACAAAGGGCCACTCTACAGTAGACCCGTTACCTGTGAGTACAGGTTCCACAGAGACGTCGCTGAAGAAAACCTGCGTGCTCAGGATTCTGCTCAACACTGCACTGAAGACACATGCATCCCCGTACCACCGCCGACTTTCAGCAAACCTCCGTTCCACTCTAAGTAGTTATCCACACGCACTTTATCTGACATCATTTGTTTGGGGGAGGTGTATTGTCACAAAGGGCAGGGGAAGCAGACCCACACACCATCACAGTCAACAGTGCAGGCTGGAGCTCTTCCCATCAGCCCACCAACCAGCTGCAGAACAGAGTGGGGACATCTTACACATCTGCTCTTCTTCTGTGTGTATGGGATGGTTACGTGGTGGTTCCTGGATGGTTTTCGGGTAGCTATGCAGTAGTTAAGGGATGACTTGGGTGGCTGTGGGATGGTTATGTGGTAGTTATGAGATGGCTGTGGGATGGTTATGTGGTAGTTATGAGATGGCTGTGGGGTGGTTATGGGTGGTTAGGAAGGAGGTGGTTGTGGGATGGTTATGGGTGGTTATGAGATGGCTGTGGGGTGGTTATGGGTGGTTAGGAAGGAGGTGGCTGTGGGATGGTTATGGGTGGTTATGAGATGGCTGTGGGATGGTTATGGGTGGTCAGGAGGTGTTTGTGGGGTGGTTAGGAAGGAGGTGGCTGTGGGATGGTTATCCGGTAGATATGGGATGACTTTCAGGAAGTTGTGAGTAGTTAAAGCATGGTTATTGGCTGATGAAGGGATGATTAAGCAGTACTTATAGGTGGTTCTAGAATGGTTATGTGGTGGTTATGAGATAGTTAAGGGACGGTTTTCTGGTGTTATGCAGTGGTTAGGGGGTGACTATGTAGTGGTGATGGAATGGTGGTGGTGATGGGTTGGTGGTAATGGTGTGGGATGGTTGATGGGGTGGTGGGGTGATGGTGGGATGATGGTGGGGGTGGGGTAGGGTAGTGTGGGGTGGTGATGGGGTGGGGTGGGATGGTAGTGGGGTGGTGATGGGGTGGGATGGTAGTGGGGTGGGGTGGGATGGTAGTGGGTGGGGTGGGATGGTAGTGGGGTGGTGATGGGGTGGGATGGTAGTGGGGTGGTGATGGGGTGGGATGGTAGTGGGGTGGGGTGGGATGGTAGTGGGTGGGGTGGGATGGTAGTGGGGTGGTGATGGGGTGGGATGGTGGTGGAGTGGGGTGGGATGGTAGTGGGGTGGTGATGGGGTGGGGTGGGATGGTAGTGGGGTGGGGTGGGATGGTAGTGGGGTGGTGGTGGGGTGGGGTAGGGTAGTGTGGGGTGGTGATGGGGTGGGGTGGGATGGTAGTGTGGGGTGGTGATGGGGTGGTGATGGGGTGGGGTGGGATGGTAGTGGGGTGGGGTGGGATGGTAGTGGGATGGTAGTGGGATGGTGGTGGGATGGTGGTGGGGTGGTGATGGGGTGGGGTGGGATGGTAGTGGGGTGGGGTGGGATGGTAGTGGGGTGGTGATGGGGTGGGGTGGGATGGTAGTGGGATGGTGGTGGGATGGGGTGGGATGATGGTGGTCGGATGGAATAGGGCGGGGCGGGGTGGTCTGCGGTGGCTGAGGGGTGGTCGTGGGGGGCCTTCTCGGCTTCGCCCCTCGCGTGCACTGCCCCGGTGGAACAAGAAGCGCGGAAT